CAACAGTTAAGACACTGGATTGTTGGAAGTTTGTACGTTTTAACGCGGAGAGAGAATATTATCTCCGGAAGGGTTTGTCCTTGAAAGGTTAAAACAACAGTTTGCGTTGGAATCCAACTAATTTGACCATCGGAGTTTGTCTTGCGGCGTCTGGCCTTGAGGACTATACCAATACCTTCGGGAATTTCCAAAGTTTCGACAAATTCCTACATCGACCAATCAGCTGGGACACCTCTCACAAGACCCATACGGGAAACATTATAGTTAGGAATCGTAACAGAATAATTGCTGGAAGGTACAATGGGATTAGACACAAAATTATTAGCATCTAAGCCCGACTTAAACTCAACAGATATTCTATTACGTCCCACTCTCTTAACACCATCTCGAACAATGTTGGGTATTTTATTTTTTACCAAGAAGTGACCAAATTTAATTGGGCGGATTGATGTACCAGCGGATGGGTCAGATTCAGGGCAAGAAACCTGGACTAAAAAAGGGTCCTTGTCATTGACAAAGTATGACTTGGGAGAGCCAGTGAGAGATGGATGGGAGTAAAATCCTGGGTTGACGTCATCAGCAGATGACTGGACATCAGTCATTGGTTTTTTGGAAGGTTCCACTAAAGATTCATTGACAGTATCGAGTCTGCGCTTGACACCAGGTTGGGGAAACAGTGGGGTGGATAAATCCATTGATTCCACCGGAGAATCAGGGGGGTCTGGAGGGCGTTTCTCCATTATAGACTACCAAAAATATAACAAGGTAAAGGGAGAAATATAACAAATAAATAAAAATAACTTACGTAATTAGTTGATGTTATTAATTAACCACCACCAATAGGATACCTAAGTCTCTAACTTATATTCATTAAACTACGAGAAAATATAGAAAATACTAAATAATGATATCCGAAACACGTGTAAAGGTCAGTACTCACATACGGTATTACTCGATAGTTTTACTCGAAGTCGAGTAAAAATCAACGTGTGGACCGTAAAACTCACAGCTCGAAGGCTCGCACCGAGCCGGCTCGATGGAATTAAATGAAAGTAATTTCCTTCGAACCTACTCGAAGCGAACCGTCAATCTTTACTCGAACGTGTGTACGTGACTGCGAGTGGCACGAGGCGAGCGTCAGTCTGGTTTTTATCGTGATTGAAACACGTGTTTTTAAGGAAATGGATTTGCGAGTTTATTCCAAAAGCGCTATGGAAGACTTTATTAACACATATAGACAGTGTGAGTGTTTATAGAATGTCAAGTCCAAAGATTACTCCCACAAAAATAAGAGAAATGAATGTTATGATAAATTTCTTTTCATTTTCTTTGATTTTCTTATAAAGCACTGTGAGACTTGCTAATTACAGCCACCGTATCCTTTGTTGCACAGATATCCTTTGGCTCGAACTGTTGGGTGAATACTGAACGACGCGCCTCACTCGATAGATTTTTATTTTATTTTTTATTTATTTATTCTCACAAAAACTTAAACTTAGAACATAGGCAAGTGACAGTTATATTCTCACTTCTGTTAATGGAAAAAGCAAGTCTGTGTGAGACTGATGCCTGATAAAGGTAAGAGTACCTGTGTTACAGGTCATCAGGCCTCCACTACTTCGGATTGACAGAAGATACAATACAATACAATACATTACAATATATAGTATATAGAGGAAACCAGATGGGGTATGTGTGTATGAGTAAAATATGTGTATGTGTGTGGGTGTGTGTCTGTGTATGTTTTATATTTTATTACTTAAGTGTTAGTCTATTGAAGCTAAAACTATTATACTAAAAATCAACTCTAAACTCAACTATTTAATTATTGTCAGCATTTTTTCTGTATCCTCATAGTTGAGGTCCAGTAGCCACAGTGCAACCGTCTTCTTGCACTCGTGTTTAGTTAGGGGATATGTGGAAACGGAAGAGTTGACCTTATTATACAAGTAATCCCCCAAAAAACAGAAGAATTTCTGGGCAAAACTTGTGCGAAAGGGCTTTGAAGTGCACACTATGCCTTTCCTACGCTTGTTATCTTTAAGGTGTTGGTCATAATTGATAAGTGAGTGCTTGCGTAAAATTGTGGCAAGAATGAACATTTGACGCACCGAGAGTACCTTCCAATGTCTGTATACCTCTGTGGTGGGACAAATGAAGGGAAGGGAGGCACTAACCTTGAGTATTGCCCTCTGAGCTCTCTCTATTTTCAGAAGGTGGGTTTTTGCTGAGCCACCCCAAGTAGAGATGCAATAGCTCAGAATGGATTGACCTAGCGACAGGTAGACAGTTTTTATAATTGTGTTAGCAATGTGCCTCAAAATTTTAAATACATAAATCAGTTTTCTAATTCTACCTGCCAGTAGGTCAATATGAGCTTGGAAATTTAGATAGGTATCTAGCATGACTCCCAAGTACTTCACTGTGCCTGCGGAGTTGAGCTTTGGACACCCGCAGTGCTCCCCGGTCACACATGAACCAGCATGTGACACAAGTGCCAGACCAGAAGGAATGTCGCGCCTCGACATTGGGAAGGTCATGAATTTGGTCTTTTCTGTGTTAAGGGCCAGAGAACTGCGATGTAGCGAATCCGATACCAAGATCAATGCTCAATGTGTGGACGAAAGCCCATGCCATGGGTTTTACTCGACAGTTTAGCTCGATCGAGTAATACCGTATGTGAGTACTGACCTTAAACACTTATACCCGCAACGACCGAATCGTAATTTTTCATATATTATAGTACGAGATCCCGCTGCAGGATTGGTGCGCTCATCGACTATTTGTTTAAAACCAAATTTTTATGTTTATTTATAATTAAGAGAATATATATTTACTAGGGTGCCTATCAAAATTTGGCCGCCATTATTTTTAATTGATTTTTGGTAAAAAATTGCGTTCATTTATTATTTAAATAAAATAACGTCTACATCACGGTAATTAATATGAAGATTCTAAAATTCACGGGTGCCGTTGCGCACATGGCCGCACCTCTTTGCAGCCAGGTGTAAACAGGTATGATTTCGATAAATTTATACGTTTATAACCTATTTTTATTAATTATATGTCAAATTGAAGCTAATTTTTTTCTATTAATTATCATATAAAGTTGCTTAATTAAATCTGGCCGCAAATAAGGGCTACTGGCTGTTAAAGATAATAAATATTTAAGGTAGAGTGAAAGAGAGTTAGCGCGTAACATCATTTGTCAGACGAGGACAGCGATTGTCGGCTGTGCGACGCTCTTAAGCCATTGCGCATGCGTCGAACGTTAGTGTTCTCAACCACCGGGGAGTAATAGAGACGACTTATAATAAATACTCCAAAAAATATGTAATTTTTTTCAAAATGACAAATTTAAAAATTGCAACAAATTCAGCCCAGAATGGCTGGCTGGTCCTAGGTGGTTTTTTTAAAACCAACATGGTTCCTGGGAGACTCAACTCCAACGCAAGTTAATAGTGTGCTATGTGAATCCATGAACAAAGCTTCCGATAACGACGATTCTGATATTTGTAGCGATGAAAGTGATAGCTCCGATGATAGTACAACAGAAAGCTCCGATGATTCAGATTTTTAAATAAGAGTTACGGAAATATAAGATTAATTTTTTAATTTTTTAATTTGCTTAAATGTTTAATTAATATGTAATAGACAATCAATTACTTGAATAAAATCTAATAAAATTTTTAAATAATACTTTCGCAATAAAATTTTCTTTTACTTAAGTCGCCTTGGTTTTATTTTTTTATTTTTTAAATTAATATTAAATATCGACGTTCTAATTAGCAAATTATCTAACTCCATTTTAGAGAATCTTTTATTTGTACGAAAAAAACAATGACTTCAAAATTTATTATCATTTTAAAAAACCATTTAATATCTAATAGAGATATAATTTTTAAGTATGAATCATTCAAATAATTTGTAATTGGATTATGTCTTCATCAAAATTTAAAAAAAATCACCCTCTAAAAAATAAGGAGTTAGACAAATTGCTAACTAGACCGTCGATATATCAAATCAATATTAATTTTTGTTGCAATTTTTAAATTTGTCATTTTGAAAAAAATTACATATTTTTTGGAGTATTTATTATAAGTCGTCTTTATTACTCCCCGGTGGTTGAGAACACTAACGTTCGACGCATGCGCAATGGCTTAAAAGCGTCGCACAGCCGACAATCGCTGTCCTCGTCTGACAAATGATGTTACGCGCTAACTCTCTTTCACTCTACCTTAAATATTTATTATCTTTAACAGCCAGTAGCCCTTATTTGCGGCCAGATTTAATTAAGCAACTTTATATGATAATTAATAGAAAAAAATTAGCTTCAATTTGACATATAATTAATAAAAATAGGTTATAAACGTATAAATTTATCGAAATCATACCTGTTTACACCTGGCTGCAAAGAAGTGCGGCCATGTACGCAACGGCACCCGTGATTTTTTAGAATCTTCATATTAATTACCGTGATGTAGACGTTATTTTATTTAAATAATAAATGAACGCAATATTTTACCAAAAATCAATTAAAAATAATTTAATTAAAAATAATGGCGGCCAAATTTTGATAGGCACCCTAGTAAATATATATTCTCTTAATTATAAATAAACATAAAAATTTGGTTTTAAACAAATAGTCGATGAGCGCACTAATCCTGCAGCGGGATCTTAGACCATTACAACTAAATTCCGTATAGATTCATTCGCTAAAACTGTCAGATGTCAAATGTAATGTATATTGTCATTGTAATAACAGACTGAATTAAATTGTCTATGGTATTGTCAAATAAATTATTGTAATAAAATCTTTTGAAAAAAATAACATTGTTTTATAGGTTTATTGCTTTGCTTTGTGCTTTGAAATACGTAAAACACCAAGAGTGACAAATAATAACATTCTTAACTTTTTTGGTTTGGTCAATCAGACATTAATTTTACGTTATTGATCTAATATAATATTATATGTGATACACCTGCTAAGCTGTAAAATAATGAAACCTCGGCCTTGTGGCTGTAAGGGTGCTAGAACGTGTTTAATTTGTGAAACACAGTACGGTGCTAATGACTTCAAGCCTTTGATAGAGCTGGATAAGAGTAAAGGTTATGTTTACTGCCCTTTTTGCAACCTAGCTTGGCCTGGTTGGGATGGAGAATTATATAAAGAACATCCGAACCACACAGGCCAGCCAATTAAATACGCAGGTATTTATATTAAACTAGATTTTATATCAGAAGATGAAGAAACTGAACTGATGAAAAATATTGATGAAATGCCTTGGGATATATCTCAGAGTGGACGTCGCAAGCAAAACTTTGGGCCAAAAACTAATTTTAAAAAAAGGAAAATAGGTGCTGGTAAATTTAATGGGTTTCCCCAGTTCTCTAAATATCTTCAGGAAAGATTTAATTCAATTGATTTATTAAAAGGTTATCATGTTATTGAGCAGTGTTCTTTAGAGTATGATCCTGTCAAAGGGGCATCTATTGATCCACATATTGATGATTGCTGGGTGTGGGGGGGAGCGAATACTTACATTGAATTGCTTGACAGATACTGTCCTTACAATGATACCTTTTAAGGGAGATACAAAAAAGTACAATTTATCTTGTGCTGAAGAATATCCTCCAATAATTAAAAAAGATGGAAGTCTTAATTTACAATTGCAGAGATGTAGTCAAAGTATGTTTGAAGCTTGTAGACCTCAGAGCCAACTGGATGTCATAGTACGGATACCAATGATCAGGTACATAATCTTATACAATGCTTATAATGTAGAGTGAATACCAGAAATATTGTGATTGACTATGATGAATATGATAATGCAAAATAAGCCATTTAAGCAATTTATATTGACTATAATACTTAGTTTGCAAACATTTATACTTTTCCAAGATCTTATCTTGATCTATAATATTAGTATTGTCTTTGATTAACATAACTTTTATTCATTTAATAAAACACTATTTTGACCGGATTGAAGTTATGTATTGTTATAAATTTACAACTATTTAACATAATTTTAAATTTATCCGACGTTTCGCGTGCTTTACAGCGTGCGTGGTCACGGTGACTGAAGACAAAAGATGTTGAATGTCAAAAAGTATCACAGCTGCAGAGAAAGTTGCATTATCTGTATTTATTTCCCCGGAGTTGGTATCGACTAAAAGAGGGAGGGTGGGACCCTCCATCTGCACGCTGTAAAGCACGCGAAACGTCGGATAAATTTAAAATTATGTTAAATAGTTGTAAATTTATAACAATACATAACTTCAATCCGGTCAAAATAGTGTTTTATTAAATCTATAATATTAGTTTATAATTAAAAAGTAAGAGGCAAAACTTATACATTTATATTTATGTAATTTCGGCCAAGCATCCCGTGGTGCGAAGCTACTACTATTTATGTAATTAGAATTTAAATAGTTGCGTATCTAATTAAAGTAATATTGATGATAAAATTGAATTTAATATTTTACTATTTCAGACGCTCCTTAGCACTTATGTATGGGGAGCCACGGTACCATTGGGAGCATTGTATTCTCAGAGAAGACATTCTTTGTCGACGTGTATGTATAGCTTACCGTGAATTCACACCATTATACTTAACAAATGGTCAACACCAATGTAGCGGAGATGAAATCCGATCAAAGGCAGAACAGTTTTGGGATCATAGGTGTATTCGTGAACAAGAATTATAAACAATAAAACAGTAGTTAGTATCTATTTATTAAATAATGCAATTGTTTTTTATTTTAATTATAAATCTAATTAATTGCATTTAATGTGTGGTTAAAATAATATTAGCAATTGTTAAATATATACACAATTTACATGGTTTTATCAACCCAACTTAAATTAAAATTTCATAAAAAATATATTCTATACATATTATGCATGGCTTGATTCTGTATGACCAATATAGACTGTGTTATCCACAGCTTCTGATTTTTGAGCCAGAATCATTTGTTCTCTTATTTTCCATTGTATTAGTGCCTTTTCGCTTTTCATCTTACGAATGCACTTTGCCAGCAACAAGGCAAATATTATCCCAAGAATCTGAAACAAATAATTTAGTTATAATATATTTCCTTAGTTGGGTAAGCAATCAATTCCCAGTTTTAGGATAAATGACATTTCAAGAAGATAGTAGCTTTACTTGTTCTGAGTGAGTGAGTGTATAACTCATGCACAATTTTATTTAATAAATTCTAAAATCAAAATTATATCCTAAGTTTACATTTATTGTCAGTTCCAAAATCCATAGTGTTGAATGGACCAAAAGTCTTATTTAACTTTCTGGCATCTTTGAATAGCCAAGTTCTTTGTTTTACAAAATGTTTGTAAGGGGCTTCTAATTCTCTACTAGACATCTTGAAGTAATTATAGCAAAAAATTGTTGCGTAATTAAGAAAATTAAATAATTATTTCTATTTTATTCCATTAAAAAGTATATACCTGAATAAACGTGACAGAAACTCCGAGAATGCCGATCACACTGGAGTTTTGCACCAGCATATTGACTAACGCGTTTTGGCAACCAGTACTTCTTATTCTGGTGCAGTATACGTCACCTCTCTTTGCGCAACATGATGTTGGGACCACTATTGTATCCGTGTCGGTACTGATAACTACTGTATCGTGGTAACTAGTGAAGTTCATCCCAGCGTAATCTTTGTAAGATGTACTACCACAACAGTTGAGCTAAAACAAAGGTAACCTAGAATGTTTTCGCTAGAAAAGACATTGTAACATACGTCTAATTATCGCCAGGAAACTTTTCAAGCGGAAAAAGATGTTGGTATATAAATATTTCAAAATGCATTTTTTATATGAATGTATCCTTTAAAAACTAATAGCGGTGTAACACGTCTGAACAGTGGCGGATTTACCAGCAGTCTGAGTAGGCTCAAGGCTGGAGCCTATGGCGGCAGATTTTTGGGGCGGCATTTGGTAACCGAATTTTTTTTCGCTAATCACATGACGATTTTTTGATGTTTTACAACCTACAACCTACGACCTGTTGTCTGCAATGAAATTTGCCGATGAGTCCCCCTCTCACTTCTCATTGTATATTTGGAGTAACAAACTTCCATATTCTAGAGACTACATAAATGAAAAGAGCGTAATTGCATAAAACGTATTTCCCTCCTCTCTCTTTTCCCCCTAATAACACTGTTGGTCTTTATTTTTTTCTAGGTTTTTACCGGATTGAAGTTATGTATTTACAATTATTTTCCATAATTTTAAATTTTACTGACGTTTCGCGTGCTTTATTATAAAATATAATATAAAATTGTTTTATTATAAATGTGTGAAAGTTATGTCAATAAAAGACAATACTGGATGGTTTGTGTATAATTTTGTGCTCAAAAATAAAAACCAAAAGGTGCTGTTTCAACGAAATTGTTGGATTGTAGAGTGTAGCTAACTTCACAGCCTATACCTTGAAAATTGTAAATTCGCCACTGCGTCTGAATTCGAATAATAATAAGTCTTGATTCAAATCAATCAAGGTATAAAAAGCGGACCTGAACTGACCAAAAACCTCTGCTATAGCGCAGACGTCCCGGGAAAAGATTCGATTTAAAAACAACCGCTGAGCATTATTTATATTTATGTCTTATTTGAAAACGGATTGGCCAACGGGCATTGCAATACAATCTTACATCAAGAAACAAACCAAAATGAAAACTAATTGCACTCTTTACGTAGCAAACACACCATGCTACTTTGTTATTTCTATAACAAATAGAATAGGTACTTAAAAATATCATTAAATCACAACACACAATTTTGAAAAATCACACCAACTCAGCAAAAAATATTTTTTTGTTTAAAGATAGTCCCAAACCTAATATTAACTGTGCGAATACGAAACTGAAAATTAAAATTAGTGTCCTATTTGAAGTATCTTAATACTTACCGATTTTTGCAAAGCGTCTAATTCGACACTTATTTCGGAGTCCTCCACGTATTGTTCAACGGGCACCCTGACATAACTACGCAGTTGATCTGTGCTGATGGTGAATGATAAAATGACAACCACGATCTTCAATATCACCATAATGATCAGGAAAAATGCGTACTGAAAAATGGTAAAGTTTTAAAAGTATTAGCTGATAGAACGCGATCTTTAGGTTATGCGTTTAAATTTGATATTGACATTGTTTTACGATGCTGGAGAATATAGTAAAACACGCATGTCTGACAACAATTTCTGATGTTACATTATTCTACAAAGGCAATTAGATCAGCCAGATCAAAGATTTATTGTTTCATTTTATAATCTATATACTTATATTTTATGTAACTTTGAATGTTTTAGAAAACATTAATTTTATTTACAATCAAGTATAGGTACACTATCTTAACCTACAAAGTAATACTAAAAATTATTCAAAAGGAAATCAAAACAAATTTAAAAAGTTTGGTCCCTGTTGCAGCATTTTCTCGCTGTATTGCGATACTTATTCGTTGAGCCAGGAAAGTGCCAGCTCTGGGGACCGGCGGTGACTAGTCGCCAACTTAAATCTTTAATAAGCCCCTGTGCACTTGAACCCCATGGCCCAAGAGTCTCTACTCCAAAGGGAACAAAAATTGAAGTTGGAGGAAAGACTCTTATATTTGTGCCGTTTATTATTTTCTGCCTGCTCTGCGGCCGCCCCAGCTTTTTTGCTTGTCCGAAGGAGGTGAGACGGAGCAATCGTGTCCACACAAGTAGCATCCCATACTAAAGCCCGTCCCATTTTCCAAGGGAAATATAACTTAAATAAGCTAGGCAATAAACTAAAGTTTAACAGTTAAAACGACCACTAATTCGCTACATCATTTTTAAAGTTTACTTCAGGTCACTTTCAGGTCGAAGAGAAAATCGCCTTGGACAAATCAAAAAAGTCCTGGTCATATTACTTAGCACATGACAGCGGCTTCATTGAGTTGAACTGACTCGTATGTTCTGGATTGTAATTCCAAAAAATAAATTTTAGTAAAGAGTCCTGTTCTAATCTTTAGTACGTACCTAATTATGCGTCGGATGTTAAAAGCAAGTGACATTTTAACTTGCGCGTAATTCTCTAATGTTTGTTCAATTACGAACAATGGAACGTAAATAACACAACTTATGTTCATATATTATACTTATAAATGTACTTCACGAGTTAGCGATTAAAAAGAGTGGCGGAGAGTTTCTTGCCAGTTCTTCTTTCCCGCTCTACGCCCTTGACTTGCGAACTGGTAGTAAATGTAAATTTTGAATCAATTTATAATCTTTTCTGTTTACGTTCATAAGTGTACTTGTTTACCTATATGATTAAAGTTATTTTGAGTTTGAGTTAGAAAGCTTTCTATTACTAATCATTGTTATCCTTAAAATACAACATTTTAGTATTTTATTTTGTAGTTTTCGGCTCAGAAATACGACTGTTACTTAATATACGTGTATATATTTGTGTGTGTATGAAGCGTTTTAATAACGGATTACCATTTTATTTTGTCCGGACGCCTACTGTGTGTCTTAACATAGGTACCTACTTCATTTGGCCACAGAAACGATATATAGATGTGGATTCGTCCTGCATGCCAATAAATTAATTGAAGTATAATTGCCTAAAGATACATACCATGTTCACCAAACACGTGCTCTGTTTAAGACTACCGAAGAATCCAAATAGCGTCACTATGAAGAGTCCCATGCCGAATAGAACGCACAGTAGGGACGGTGTTACGAATCGGCCACTTTTAGCTGCCTCATAAAAGAAAGAGAAGTTGTGGTAGTGCGTATATACTGATATTCCCAGCACGACCATAAGACCAGCAATAATCTGTAATATGAAATATTCTTACTTATAGTTATGAACTTCTGTTATGGATTGAGGTTCATAATTTCATTTCGATTTTCGAAAATGGTCAATAGACAATTAGATATATATATATATGTTATATGTATAGAGTCTAATATATACTACTGTAAAATTTTATTGTTGTATCAATATAACTCAATACATGTTGTATAAAATGAATACCTACACCAGAATTAGGCGGCCTCTTCCCACCGATAATTAGGAAAAGAAATAAAATGAAAAAAGTATGAAACTACTGATATTTTTTTTATGTAATAGGAGGCAAACGGGCATGAGGCTTACGTGATGTTAAGTCCTCCGCCCATGGACATTCACATTGCCAGAATTCTCGCAATAGCGATGCCGGTCTTTCAAGAATTGGTACGCTCTTTTCTTGCCGGACCCTTGCCCCCTTGTCGAATTGGTTCGGAAATACTCCGGTGGGCAGCTGGTTCCACATAGCGGTGGTGCGCCTCAAAGAATTGCCTTAAAACGCTCAGTTGTGGAACGTCGAGGTGATACGGATGGTATAATCTCAACGTCTTCGATGGTATTATCTTTCTATGTATATACAATTACCTGTGTAAAATACTTTTATAAACAAGTATATACATATATAATATATTTGATACACATGAGACTTAAGTATGTAAATTTAAATTTAAGAGAGTAATTATTGTTGAGCTTCTTCCCAGTTCTCTCTCTACTTTCTGAACGGGTAGGAAAACAGTTGACGATTTTGTGATACAAAAAAATGGATATTTAGGTAAAAAGAAAGTGCACTAGCACCTGAGATTCCCTGTGTAGTGGGCAGCCAGTCTCTTCCTTTTGACAGGTTAATGACAATAATTTCTACATAACATATTTTATAATTAAACTATTGTTGCATAATAAGTATATTTTGTTTCAGCACAAGACAGGTTGAGAAGATGTTGTTTAAGAATTAGTGAATGTGTCAAGTTATAAATCGTTAGTGAATTTTTTAAAGAAAGTACCTACCTACTTAAAGATGAAAAATAATAAGTGTCGGAATGCAATTTATAATTATTTGATAATTTATGTAGGTACGTAACCCTGTACGTAATTAATTTCAGTTGTTATCTTACTCGTATAGTCAAGCGATGTGTGTAATAAAAACATATGTTTATTTCAATATGATTACCTTTTGTATTGTTGTTTTGTAGGTTCACCCGGCTGTGCACCTTGACTTTCTGTCTATGTGCGCATTTAACATTCGGGCTTGCCTAAGACCCAAAAAGTCGACAGCGTGTACCAGGCACAGGAGGCTGATCACCTACTTGCACTATTAGATTGACAAACGATCATGAAACAGATACAAAAATCTGAGGCCCAGACCTAAAAAGGTTGTAGCGCCACTATTTTTTTTAACTTTTGTATAAGAAATTGCTTATAGAACTTTTATTTAATTCCATTCTCACGACATTGCAGCAACCTTTTGACGAAAACAAGTCAAAAAGTATATCTTATAATATTTCCAAAGGCTTCGAGAACGTTCTATTCAGAGGTTTCAGTTCTGTATTACATCTTTGCTATTTAATTGTTTTTGCTGTCTATATTCTAGTTATCACAGGAGACCGAAGAGCTGGCAGCTACTCGGATAAATAATTAGTCTAGCTATTCAAAAGGGGAAACGCTGCCAGTATCTTCGGAACCTTGCCTAAAGGGACTCCTTTTAATAGTTAGTTAAGTATTTATTTAGTATTAGTTATTGTTTTTTGTTAAATTCATTCATGTTAGTGATCGTTATAATTGTATGCAATGAGGTAGACGTGAAAATTATTAATAGACGTTACAAGAGACATTTTAAAAATAAAACTTTATCAGCCTGAACTATGTCAATTGCCTAACGATGTTACACTTCACTATACGAATCAGTGTTAATTGCGCATTTATCTGCAAACTAACCCTAATACTGGCGCACAGGTAGAGTTCGAACACACGGCCTTAGGGATGAGACTATTACTAACGACTTACTGCGCAAAAACTTTACTGATAGGCATTATTTTTTCGTCAGTGGCGTAATAAAAATATCATAGTTCAATAAAAATTTCTTGAGCGTAACATAACATTTGCTTTATAATATTATTATCAATTTTAATAGGAGTATTGGATCCGTCGCTTGGATCTTTATGAAGGATCTGCTCTCGTGAGGTCAGGTCAGACAAGCGTCCCATCGGAGAACGAGTATGTCCCTTCATTTCATAAAAATGACTTGGAGTACTTTTTGGTCTCTTTCTTAGACATTAAAATGGTGCAGTAATACACAACACTTATAATCCTAAGATTTGTGAATATAAGTGTAACTTGTGTTAAGGTTAGTTTCAATAAAGATAAACGCCGCCATCAAATTTGCCGATACGATATTACCAAACAAAGGTATTATATAAATTAAATTCGAAATAATACTCACAATAAACATAGTTGTTATTGTTAAAAGCAGGAACCTTATAGACTTCATCGTGTATTCCGACTCAGTTTTGAAGTGAATCTTCTGCGAGTGTTTGTTAAGCGTCATTTTCACGGGTTTTCTTATTAGCACGTTCGACTTGTATCCTCACTGAATCACGAATGATTTTATATCAAAGATAACACGTTTGATAGATATGTTTTGGTAAAGCTAATTTTGTTTTTGGTAACGTAACACGTCCTCGTACGATTAAGTATGAAATACTAAGACGTAAATTATTTGTGTACTCATTAGCATAACAGACACAAGAAGCCATCTTGATTAAGTCAGTTTCCAATGACTTGTTGCGTTTAGCCTTAGAACGTGAAAATGTGACGTCATACTCTCAATTAGTGACGTGAAGGCTATTGATAGTTAAATGCCTTTTGAGTCGTTTGCGCAACAAAGAAAAATTAATTTTTAAAATAAGTTTTCATTCTGGATTTTATTATCAAGAATACACATATTTCTACATAAGGCAGTCTTCATTGTCTTCCATCCCGTATTTTTTTCAATATTCGAACCCTGTACCTGTATGTTACCACTGCGCCACGGAGATGGCAACTAAATTTACTTCTTATAGTAAAAGTCTTCGATTTCTCAACTTCCGGGTGTAACTGGACTTAAAGTGGGACCCACTCGAGACATAAGTTAGATGAATCACATTATAAAATCAAAATACATATAATCATTAAGTAAGGTACGTCATATATGAATGTACGTTTACATTTACAGCCAGTTCTCAAATCAAGGCCGTAGGACCGACGAGAAGAACTGGCAATAAGCACACCGTTACTCTATTAAACCAACTCATCTTAAAGCAATTAATTATAAAAAAAGCGTTGACCTCCATCAGCATATGCATGGCGAAATACTAAAGACAATAAATTCACCATAGATGCAAAGAATTGCATCAAACATTAACTCTTCCATGATCCAGCTATTTTGGAACCAACAGGCATAGCAGTAAGCGACCGGATGTCGTTGATCCCTTGGAAGATGGGACAGGCTTTGGTATGGGGTGCTACTTGTGTGGACACGTTTGCCCCGTCTCACCTGCCTCGGACAAGCAAAAAAGCTGGCCGGCCGCAAAATAATAAACGGCTAAAATATAAGTCTTTCCTTCAACTTCGATTTAGTTCCCTTTGGAGTAGAGACTCTTGGGCCGTGGGGTTCAAGTGCACAGGCGCTAATTAAAGATTTAAGTTGGCGCCTGGTAATGGTACTGGTGACCTCAAGGCTGGTGCTTTCCTCGCTCAACGAATAAGTATCGCAATACAGTGAGGAAATGCTGCCAGCGTTTAAGGTACAGAGACCAAACTTTAAAATTGTTTTGATTTTCTTCTTATTCATTTTTTAATTATTTTTATTATTACTATGTAGGTTACGGAAATTGTAAATGTTGTATATTTTATTGTTATGATTACTAATAAACTCTTAAATAATTATAATTAGTTTTATATTGAGACATTTTATTCAATGTTTTTTTAATTATTGCTAGTCTTTTTTATATCAGTAAGCCTTTTTAAATATAATAAGTACAAAACAAAATATTTGGTCAAGTGTGTCCTGGTACATTTAGGCCTCTTCAAGCTCTCTCGATTTATTTGTCCCGGGTTACTCTACACAGCGCCATCTGTGGGTTCCAGATAACCCTCCATCGCCTGTCCTGTCTACCTCTTATTCTTTACTCATTTCGTGACTCCCATTCGGCATATTGTCCATTTCTCACGACTTTCTGTTGTGAGGCATGACACATGTTCTTGAATGTTTTTAAACCCTACCTCAAATATAATCCAGAACTGTTGTTTTGGATTGGTTTAGTATTGATATTGGAAAATAGTCGCTTATATGTATTGCTATTAATTGATAGTGCCTATAATTTATATCCGAAAACAATTTTGTATCGCGTACCAAGTTCTTTGATAATGCGACATGTCTTATCTCTGATACCTGCTTATCAGCTTTATCTAGAATTATGTTTAAATGGAGCGACATGCAAATAAGTCATGTTCGACGTGACACCAATTATGGAAATCCCTTCCATATTTCCTTCACAAACTTATTACGTAATGGCCAAGAAATGATTTTATTGAGACAAATACGTTATGTTTTGACAATATTTATCTAGGATATTTATTTTTACAATACTTTGGAAGAACAGCTTTCCTCTACCGTATTTACCATGGAGAGTGTTCAGAGGAGTTGTTCGGACTAATACCTGCTAGCTGAGTTTCATCACCGGACGTCAAGGCAGAATACAAAATACCATCCGTAACACCTCCGTAATCCGTTCCACAACTGAGCGTTTCTTAAGGCAGTTTTTTCCGCACACCACCACTATGTCGAACTGAAGTATTTCCGAAGCATATCGACTAAGGGTCCTAGAAGAAAAGAGCGTACCAAGTCTTAAAAAGCAACACACTTGTGAGCCCATTTGCCTCCTAATACATTTAAAAAAAAGTTATTGAAGGATAATAATAGTAGATTTTTTTAAATCAATCCTTTAGTTATTTGAGTCTATTCGCTACAAAAATTCAAATCATTCCTCTTAATATTGTACAATTGTTGAGCTTTGCATGGTATTTAGAATTTTCCTCGTCCACAAATACGATAACTTTACGACATCATAAACCGTTTTCTAGTCATAGGATTGTTTTAGTAAAATTTAAATAGTTATTTTAGTTTACAAAGTTCAATGCAGGATCAAAAAAAACAAAATATATAAAATAAGCAATACATGAAAAAAAAATCAAAGAAAAGATACACATACTTTATTATATTAAGACTAGCGGATCCGTCAGACGTTATCCTGTACACACGTCTTTAAAAAAAAATATCCAATAATGTAAATCGTTCTCGATACCACTTGAACACACAAAAATTTCATCAAAATCGGTCCAGCCGTTTAGGAGTTTAATTATGCATGCACAGAAGATTTATATATATTATATACCAGCTGTTTATTTGCTGTATAGGTAAATAACCTAGATACCGATTGCAGCGCCATCTGTTGCTGCTTTGTGAATCTAAACTATCCAAGGCGCCACCCAAACGCATACAAAAAAATCGATACCTAGAATATACCTGATTCAAATCAATTGGTATATTTGAACATGTAAGCAAATCATACAATGTCGTTCGTATGATTACCAGTAAAATAACTATTTCTCTGTACATAAAGATTATTACGCTTGATTTGAATATCGTTAAATTGCATTTTTGCTTTAATATTAATATTTTTTTATATTTTTTATTACTGAACCGACTTAGACTGGACTGTACTGGAGTTACAATATACGATATAAGGAAATATATAACGTTTCGATGATCTGCCTTCTTGTGTAGGTATGTTTAGGTTTCCCAGTTGCTACGGATATATTTATTCACAAATGTATATATCCCTAAATTAAAATTAAAATATAATATTAAATACATAAGATACTATTCTGTATCTTATGTATTTAATCACTACTATGAACTTACTCTGCTAACTTATAAAGATTTATTGAAACCTACACCGAAATTAAATTTAATTAAAATTATTAAGGTTCTTTGCGTCGTGTAATGCCAGCTAATTATTTACTAATTATTGAATCAATCGCATAAAAATGACACTTGTGTGGGTCCATCTCTACTTCACACATATGATGATAGAGAACAAGCAAGAATCAAACAGAATCGTTACGATTCCACGAACAGGGAAACAAAAGAGAAGCAGGCAAACAAGAAGATGGTAGGGTGATCTACAGTAGATGGAGGGCCCACTAGAGAACGCCAAGATTGGAAAAGAGTCTGCATCTTAGGATAAGCTGTAGCAAATAGTTATTATGTACAGATTTGACTTTACATATACTACGTTAGGTATATTTACTTTGAGTGAAGGTAGAGGGCTTTTTGTGGTTTTCAAAATTTAGGTTAATTATGTGATCGTGGGTTACTGACTTCAATAAAACTGTATTCTATAAAAGTTTATCGTCTTTATTAATAATAAAATATAATTCACATGTAGGTACGATTAGATTTATTATATACAATAGTTTGGGGATGTCACGCCGCTTTGCAACCGAATCGTGTCAACAATCGATTATGTACACAAAAATTCTTATTCTGTTTTGTTCTCTCCCTTTTAAATATGGTAAAAAGAACTACTAAACGAGATTGAACGATAAAAAACGATTAAATCGTACGAAGATCTATGGTTACTTTAAAATCAGCATAATCATGTTTCGGACCATTCCATCCCGGAACACACAAAACCGTAACATCCCAAATAAAAACTATAGCTAATATGAAAATAATATTACTCCGATCTTTGGGATTACCTTTAACGATTACTTATCTCTGCGATTTTGTCTATATACCTACCAAATCTCTAAGAAAAACAGAAATAACATTTTTTAAATTCAAAAGGAGAGATTAATATCTGGAGATGAATGCTATATGCCAAAAGTTGCGAATCTATAGATAATAATTGACCTTAATATAAAGTTACAGTAATGAATTATACATTGGTCTGGTTAAAAATTATAGGTGAAAATGATACTTAAAACCACCATAGACTATAGATACATGTCATTGTTTCTTTTTCCATAGATAATGGTAGGTATGCATAAATCATAGAACTAAGCAACAGTTTGTCCATGGAATGGGACATAGACGACTGGCTTCTTTTCTTTAGTTTCTGTGTCAGGACTCAGAGAAGTGTAAGCGTTAATCATACGTTCTTGAATCTCCCAGCGTCTGCGTTCACGTTCAGATTTTGCCTTGCGAATGGAAGTGGCCAGGGAGAAGGAAAATACGATGCCAATAATCTGTAAAAAACAATGCTTTCAATATATCTATAACTAGCGGCTTCGCACGGGTGGACAGTTATTTTTTAATTATAAATTATTTTTCTTGCAATTAAATTGCCTTTATTAATCAGTGATAAAGTAGCATTCAAATGGTGAAAGAATTTTTAAAATCGGTGTAGTACTTTTTGAGCCAATTCGTTACAAACATACTTACATACAAATTTTTCCTCTTTATAATATTAGTATAGATAAGAATTAAATGGAATTACAACCCTATATGTGCCTCTTCTTTAGATTGCATGCATTAATCAATTTCTTTTACAAACAAGTAGGTGCCTACATAACAGTGACACATTTCGTTCTTGAAGGACCCTAAGTCGAATTGCTTCGAAACTACTTCAGTGGGCAGGTGGTTCCACATAGCAGCAGTGCCCGGCAGAAATCGCATTAAATAACGCTCAGTTATTTTAAGGATTTATGGAACTTCTCGCGATAATACGTGGAGACTTTTTATTTCTATCATTTTATAAATATCCTACATATGTGTTAACAATTATTTTCCAAAAAAAATTTAGTAAGTTTTCCGAGACACACCTGTGGTTCAATTCTTTTTAGTTAGGGCGGTTCCAGACTAGCTTTTTTACGCGCATAGCGAGCGTTTAGACGAGCTTATGTCTTTGGAAGCGCATGTGGGCACGTATAGGCGCGCCTATTGGCACACGCGCAACGCGCACGTCAACGCAAGTTGACGGGCTTCTAAGCTCGTATAAGTTCGCAGTTCTGGGTAGAGTATTGTCCATGTTTTTCTCTTCTTAGTCAGGGAATAAGTAACGCAAAGCGTCAGAATCCATGTTGATACTGACACTGGACACGACGCGACTATCAGTTCGAGCGAACACGCCGAAATATGCCAGATTACGCGCGTCCGGTTTTTTGAAGCGCGCGTATAAAAATACGCTACTCTGTAACCGCCCTTAACAAGGTTGCAAAATAAAGTGAAAGGAAAAGCAATGGAAAAGCAAGATTTAACCTTGCACCGAGCTAGTCACCTACCAATATCTTCTTTTTCATAAGTAATTTCCTTCACGAAAACGATACGACAACTCGAAAAACGAACTAATTATTTATTTAACTGATAAGATTAATTGCACTTTTGTTTTTATTTTTGAACAATTAATTAGTTTGATAAATGAGCTACCGAGTGATTACATTATTGCTACATTATTGACATCGTAACTTGGCACTGCGAATTCGTCTTTTACCAGCAATGTGCGAACACCATAAATGGGCAAAAGACCGTTGCCAGCGTATACGCCGGGAACTATGGGCCGATGGCTGGCCATGCGTCATACTCCGTGAACGGGCGCTACTTGTGGTGACTGGTCGTACTTGAATTCGTGTATGCGGTTATGTTAGTTATTTCGACTATGTGTTTGCGTGTTGTTTCCAGGAGAATGTAAGTGCGTGCTAATATTTCACCATGCCTCCTGCTGATAGAGGACAAGTCTTTGTTTTTAATATACTTTATTATTATTAATTACTCAAAATGTCATATGGAACATGGTGTAATGGTTGCAGCTCCTTACAAACGTTGTGTAAAAAAAACATGGCGATTAAAAAGAGTGGCGGAGAGTTTATTGCCAGTTCTTCAGCACTAAATGTAAAGTTAGAAGCATTTCATAAATGTTAATTCTTTTTTGAGGTTCATAAGTGTACTTTGTGTGAGTGAGTGTACCTATATGATTAAATGATTTTTGACTTTGACTATACCTGTATGAACGCAATAGTCATGGCTCCGGCTCCTAGCAATCCAGCGCTTTGGTAGACCAAGTATGTTATTCTGGGGAGGCATCCGTTCGCGTACAATTTTTCGCATTCTTCGACTTGCATTTCATTGACGTACTGGGTGCGCGTTTCGGCACAGCAACTGAATGGTACAGTGATGTTCGCTACGGCTATCCCTTCGTGAGATTGATCGCTTATTACTTCGCCCCAGTCAAGGTATGAGTCGACACCGCAGCAGTTGAGCTGGAACATTTACAAGCACTAATAGAATCAAATCGGTTTTATTTATTTTCTATTTTTCTCAAACATCACATATGTCACCAGGAAAAGATATACAGTCAAAACCGTTTACAACGAAATCGTTTAGAGCCACAACAACAACATACCGGTTATATTGACCAAAACCAAAGGTCCAGGCTGAATTCTATTGCATTAGCTACTTAATAACAACGTCATCGGATGTTACGACTATCGGTTTTTACGACCAAATATGTCGTTATAACAGATTTTGACAGTACATGTGTGAAAATAACACGAGAAGTTAACATCCACGCAACTTCCTCACAATCGTATCTGCTATTATGATTTTAATAAATAGATAGATTGATTCAAAAGTAGGGTTATATGTATGACACAAAATCGGTTGCCAAAATTAAAAATCAGTGTTCCTGATTTCATACAAATGACACAGGCAATATCTAGTACATAATAATATATACTATAAAATATTATATACTAAAATACAGATAAATGAAGTTACTAGTTTGTACTAGACTCCTACGAGTTTGAAAAGCACCATTGTATGGTTTAAGTCACGTGCATGATTATAACAGCATAATATGGTATCGTTATACGTATCTCTGTCATATTAAGTTTGTTGTCTAACTGTAATAGTTCTATCATGGGCTAGCAGTTACTTATATATCATGTATTTATAGCATGTGCGCTGTAGCATGCTGCGGGTGACAGTTTCAGTAACGTTTCGTTTCACTCTTGAAAGTTGCCGCGATTTACAAATTTTGACTTAGTATTTCAGGTATACCACATTCGTAACATATTAAATCATTAATAACTGCAGTAACTTAAATAACCCGGCCAGAATGTTCTAGTCTACAAATAAAATGAAATTGAAAGAAAAATAAGCAACTGTCACACGCACTGTTACAGCGCACATAGTCTAGAAAAGCAAATATTTTAACCATAGAGTATAAATTCTGTCTAATAAAGACAATTGTTATATAATATTAAACTTACTCTGTTCTGAATAAAGTCGTAGCTATCAGTGACATCTGGGTATGTGTAATAGTATGGCAGACTGGCTCTGAGGTTCTCATCCAGCATTCGCGCCACCTGACCACGAAGGGTATAGGCGGCAATGGCCGCTGCGACCTCAAGCACCAGCACCAAACTTAATATCACTGCGAACTGAAAGTGTCATTTGAGTTAATGTCTCCAGACCGGAAATGTTTATTTAAATACTTTTGCTATTGGGTATTGCCTAAGGACACAAAAACTAATACACCTTTTTTTATATATATAATAGGGGGGGCAAAGGGCAGTCATCGCAACTCATAGACACCCATTTTAGTGGGTGCGTTGCCGGCCTTTGAAGGAAGAGTATACACGAATTTTGAATAGTTGGAGTTGGTGGTCGGTCGTCCCACCGGGAGTCGATTCTACAGTTTCTACAGACTGTGAAAGACTTCCAGCCATCAAGGTGATGTTGATGAAATTTTGAATTCATACGGCTCGTACGTACTAATATGACTTTACATCGAAAAGCAGTTTTATAACAAAATAATTATTTACACTGTATCTATAAATCAAACGTTATCGCTTATCACCTGTTTCGTAAAAGTCTGATACATTATTGATAACACGCTCGTTTAATGCATAAAATGGATGAAATGTTCAGTATTTTCACCTTTTATCTTTAAAACAAATCATTTTGATATAAAAATAAATAAGAAAGTTTTGCTTTTGTTATCATCAATGTATACAATGATTTTCTTCAACCCATAACTAGCCCATAAAGTTTTTAAATGAGGTCTTTGTATAAGAAACTTTTTTTTATGGAACGGGCAAACGGTCAGGAGGCTCACCTGATGTTAAGTGATATCGCTGCCCAAAGGTTGCCGGCCTTTTAAAGAGTTTGTACGCTCTTTTCTTGAAGGTCCCTAAGTGAAATTGGTTCGGAAATACTTCAGTGGGCAGCTGGTTCCACATAGTGGTGGTGCGCGGCAAAAACTGCCGTAAAAACACTTAGTTGTGGAACGACGCAGAATACGAAATTCCATTCGTATCACCTCTGAATCCGAATCTTTCTTAGTCTTAATAGATAGAAAGATTAAACTTGGGGAAAACGTTCAAGAATTTCGATAGAACTTTAGACTACCGTCATAAGTTGTAATTGTCGTTAATAGTTAGTCCTATGAATTGAAAAGCACCATTGAGTGGTTAATACTAAATACATATAACTCTTTTATTATCTTTTGGATTTAATTATTTATTTATATATATTTAGATTTTTGATATGCAGGTGAATTGTGATCGTTTGTCTATTAATTTCAACAAATACTCACAATATTGACTAAGCAAGTGCTCTCTTTCAAAGCACCGATGCATCCGAAGAGTGACACGAACAGCATGATGACTCCAATGACAACGATGAAGGTCGCTGGTGAAAACATCTGGTCGTAGAGGAAGAAGGCGACATCGTGGTAAATTGCATAGATAGTTGTGCCCACTGAGATTATCAACGCTGATGTCAGCTGAAAATAAAATAGATTAGGTTAACTTCTATTAGCGATATTTTGTAAATATTTTTTATAGAACGGGACAAACGGGCAGCAGATGTTAAGTGATACCATGGACACTCTCAATGCCAGAGGGCTCGCGAGTGCGTTGCCGGAGAAGAATTGGAACGTTCTTAAAAAACTCTAAGTTAATTGGTTATGAAATAATTCAGTGGGTAGCTAGTTCCACATAGTGGTGGGGCAAAAACTGCCTTAACGCTCAGTTGACGACGTCATCGAGCCGCAGATATTAATCCAAACAACTCCTCTGAACATTCTCCGTGGTAAATGCGGTAGAAGATGCAGCCCCACATCATGATTGCTAAATAAAATGCAATTCCTTTATTGTTAATTTCCGTAGCGTTTGGGATAGAGCGGTACAACAATTCATTATTGGCATCGGGATCGCTATAAGTTACGTTTATGTAAATTTAAAGTTCTTGAAAACTGATTTCGTTTTGTAGTTCTGAGTGTATCGATCAACGAGAAGAAGTCAGTGCCCATTAATTCTCAAGCAGGACCGGAATTAGAGATCTGGAGGCCTTGGGGCACTAAAGACGTGGAGGCATATTGGCCCCAAAATTATTTTCCAAATAAATAAACAATTTTTTTCAGTAGAGATTTTCAATCAATAATTTATTGTGAAACCGAGAAGATTCTTTTAGTAATTACAAACATTTAAAAATATAAATACAAATTAATGATTTCTGATATTTAAGTACAATATAATCATGTTTATACAACGGTAGGTAAAGGTAAAACAGCGAAAAAAAATATCAAAAGAATATCAAAAGAAATCGTCCCTGTTCTTAAGTAAGAAGACTAGGCAGAACGTTGAAAGTTGAAAAATGAGTTACGATAATAAATAAAATAAAAAATATATATAAACGTGTCATTGTGGAATTTGCAATTGTTATACAAATCACAATGCGTGTCCTATTAGACTTATATTATGATTTCTACAACCTTAAATGTTACATAAACAAAGATTATGTTAAACTAGCTCTAACAACTACATATGACTGACTATTTTAATAGGCCTTTATATCTATAAATCCGAGTCGCTACAACCCGCTTGGCCCCAAATATCAGTTAATTTTTAAATGACTTTACAAAACACTTTTATTTCACTTCGTTTTACAAAGCGAATAGGCCTCCAGTTTCAGCCTATTGGTTTGAATCAGCGCAGTAATGGAATTTTCTTTCTAAGTGCGTATTAGCACTTGATTCTACAGTGCAACATCGTGAAGAAACCTGCAGCATGTCTTAAGGACCGATCTGGTCGCCAAACTCCAAAAATGTACATTGTTTCTTTCCATTTTTCGTCATCTTTTTTTGAAGTAGGGCGAATGGAAAAAATATATGGTGGACTTGACTGGTCTATAAAATAAAAATCTGGGGCTAAAACCTTCTTTGGGTTTTACATAACGAATCCTAGAATCTTATCCTGAATCAAAGGTTACACGTGTGTTAGAGATAGCCTAAAGAAAAATAAAAGGATAAAAAAACAGAAATAAAGTTATAAATTTGCGTTTATATTGAAAGAAAAAGACGCTTTCTGATCAAGCAAGATTGATTTTAGAAATTGGTTATATTGCCTTTTAATTAAAGCATTTTACGCGAACGTAGTTCAGTAGTAGTTAATCTAGACTATTATTAAAGCATATCGTGACAGGTGACATTTGACCTTGTAGACAGTCGCAAGGACAGTGGTTACTGCGGTGTTTATATATCGATTTTACACCGCACAAGTAGAATTTTACATTGTTCAGTCTATATACAAATATATAGGTATGGTAACAACGGTGTAAGTAAGTACTGGAGTATTGTAACCCCCATAGACGGAGAAATTTCAAAATGATTTCATATTTTACAGGTATAATTTAGACTGTGCTTTCTTAACTGTTTTGGCCAGAATTTAAAGTTTGGACACAAAGCATTTTAACAAAATATTTGCATAAGAAAATGTATTAATTCAACAATATTTAATACTTTTTCACTGGGTTTTTCCGGTTAAACGGCTTTGATTCTCTAAGTGGAAAATGGAAAACACAAATGGGTGTAATGAAAATCATACAAGTGGACGTAAACTTATTATCTCTGAAATTAATTACGTATGAAGCTATAATTTTATTTTACAAAAAATGTTTACTTAATTATAACAATTTGAATAACCAAATAGATTTTCCCGGTTCACAAAATAATTTACCTAATTATTTTAATGATCGTTACTTCTGTTTAATCTTAATTATAAATATTATAATTTCCGTATTCATATTTATTATTGTGACAAATACATTATTAATTATAATTTCTATAGTATTTTTAAACGAATGTATAATTAATAATGATATAATTATATCCGTGTCAGTTACATTTGATGTTAAATTTCTACATTTTCATGTTAAAAATAGGGTCTACCTTTCGTGTAAGAGGGTGCATATTTTATTATTTAAACAAATATTGATTGTTCAGGAGACGGAATATTAAGGTTGGGACCGTGTTTGGCCAAATTTTAGATCATCAGTCGCCGTTTTAACTTATTTTAGAGTTCATTACTTAAATATGTAGTAAACAACAGAGCTGGTGCGGCTTGTTATGCGGCTGAAAAAGCTAAAACATGCAAATACAGAGGTCTAGGCTTCGAATATGATTTTGTCCAATTCGGTGTTGAGACCCTTGGTCCGTGGAATCCTAGCACTATAAGGCTTTTTAAGGAAATAACAAAAAGGTTAGTCGACATCACAGAAGTCCGAAAAGCTGGCAGCTACATCGGACAAAGAATTAGTCGCCAGTATCTTCGGAACCTTGCCTACAGGGACTCCTTTTAATAATATATTTTAGTAATTATATTTCAAGGTTAGTTATTGTTTTTAGTTTTACCTTAACTATTTCTATATTTAAATAAACCAAACTTCTGTAATATGTAGCTACTAGTGGACCCCACAGACGTTGTCCTGCATGATATTTAAAGCGATTAGGATATTAAGCAAAGTATGAAAGTACCGACTGCAGTGCCATCTGCCGGGCTGATTTGTGAATCTAAACCATTCCCAGATCCCCTTGAACACACACAAAAAATTTCATCAAAATCGGTCCAGTCGTTTGAGAGAAGTTCAGTGACATACACACTCACAGAAGAATTATATATATAAAGATGTCATATGACGACTGCAATCAAGAATGCAACCACGAAACGATAAGAGGTTTAGTCCCTTGTCAAATTCATTGAACAAGAGATATTTTGATGTTTTTGACTAAACTCAATTCTACGAAATTTAACTACCAATTTTTCGTTTCTCTTTACGCAACACGCTTTTTTAATGCTGTGTGATACAAACAATAAATATTCAGCTTGACTATAGATAGTTGGCGGGTAGGACCTATCCTAATGGGATGGGTCAAAAAGACCCTTACTTGGAATGGACCAGTGGGAAGAAAAATGATAGGACGCTCACCTGAAACCTGTAAAGATGAAATAAAAAGATAGCGGGGAAAGATTGGATAGCGAAGATGAGAGACAATCCCGAGAGACCTTCAATCCGTCGGAGGTCGTGTATTAATATTAAACATAATAGGCTATTTTTATTTTATAGTATCTATAGTTGACAGGTTCATTAAATCTCATTTTTTAATCAAAGACGGGTACTTACGCATGTATTAAATTATTTATTAATATTTAAATATATCTGTTCATTAAATATTTAATCAGTTTAATCATTCGCATTAAAAGATTGATTGTATATTTGTTTGAAAATACAAAAATATCGATAACGAAAACATGAACTAAGGTCGAAAACTGTATTCTTGATTTATCCTTATTTAATACTACTGATTATAATTTATTCTACATAATAAGGTTTCTGGGAAATAGGATCCATACTTCAGAAAACGCATGAAAATAACAAAACTAACACCCATCTAATTTGTATTTTTATAGAATGGAATTAAAGTGGCTTAATTATATTATCATAACCTCAAGAAGGCGCTTGATTGGAACGGGCAAGCAGAAAGGTGGCTGTCCGAAGCAAACCTGGTGTGAAGATGAGGCAAGAATGAAAGACTTGGAGCGAGGTCAAATACGAGGCTCAAGACCGAACGCGTTGGAGACTCACAGCGGACGCCCTCTGTCCCATCTAGGGGACAGTCAGAAGAAACGGGCAGAAGTCATAACGATAAGTGATACCATAATTAATAAATAAGTAGACAATTCTATTACAATTTCAATTAAAATAAATTATCTGTATCGGTTTTTCCCTATAACGATTTTTTTTAATGTAATAGGAGGCAAACGGGCGGGAGGCTCACCTGATGTTAAGTTATACCACCCATAGACATTCACATTGCTAGAGGGCTCGCAAGAGCCCTTTTTAGACTTGGTACGCTGTTTTCTCGACACTAAGTCGAATTGGTTCGGAAATACTTCAGTGGGCACCTGGTTCCACATAGTGGTGGTGCGCGGCAAAAACTGCCTTAAGAAACGCAAACTTAATGTGTGGTTAATAATAGTCATATTATAAAGGTGTGTGTTTTAAGAAACTTATTAGCAATACCAAACTGAATGTGATAATGGTGATAAAAAACCGACGTCATTTCCTTATTTATTGTTCTTGAGTTATTTCTGGGTTTCAGAAACATGGCGAGGAAAACGGCTTGCCTTAGACCCGACAGTGTGACAGGATCATCTACTTGCCTATTATATTGACAAATGATCATGAAACAGATACAGAAATCTGAGGCCTAAAAAGGTTGTAGTGCCACCGTTTTTATAAGAATTTGCTACGAAAGCAAAAGTTCTATTAACATGTGACTTCCTACTTTATATAATAAAAAAGGAAGTAGTTTTTATTGTTTATAAAGTATCGAGCCCTTGTGCTTAGGATATCTAAGCCTATGATTTATAATAGACAGTTAGCGCTAAGTATGACACCTGTAAGTAATCCATTTCTTCTCGTCTTTTGACATTAGGAAGTAGTTATTAATAGATTCCTTATAAATAAAATATTCATTTATATGTAAAGAAATAATTACATTTCTTAGAATAAGAATTTGTTCGATACTTATATAGACTTGTATATGTAGAAAATGGAAATAAGCTGAATAGGAATAAACTAGACGAATAATTAAGGATTGGACCATTTAAAATAATGACGAAGATTTCTGACTTCAATTTACTAAATTCATTGGGTGGCACAAGAAGAATTAATCAAACTTATTCCATTTTACAAAACGGATTTTTATGTAATGGTACTTACAATTTATTGGGAGGGGGGGGAATGTAAAGAAATATTTATATTTCTCAGATTATTAATTATCTATTATGTGCTAACTGACTGATATTTCATGTTTTTTGTTAGTCTGTGGAAAGGACGCTACTTTTGGCTTGTCATTTAAATTTTAACTCGAAAAAAATTTTGTTAGAACATTTTGGATTATAAAAGTGATTTCAAGTAAAATAGCAAACTCTAAATGTTGTTTCTTAAAATACATATTTCAGCAAAACATTTGAGTTTCATTCATCATATGTATATCATAAATATATAATTGGCTATATCGATATTTTAATTGAATTTTTCGTATAGAATTGCTCGGTACGAAGTTAATGACTGTTAACACCGAGTTAATGTCAATCAATTAACGGATCATTATAAAAATATAAAGAGTCCGAGATATGATATATAGTCAAAATAATATATAATATATTTATAATATGTATCTACCTTTTAATCATTGACCCAAATGTTTAATTGGATTTGTCATCAAAATAATATTACACGACTTACAATTTGACGGTACTTGCAAATAAAACAGTCACTGATAAAAACCAGTCCGCAAATTACCTACATTGTACATATCACACATTTAAAAACTGTATTAAAATTACTTATATATTCAATAAGTAATTATTACTACGGTAATAAGGACATTATTTCCAATCACGCTGAATACGGAAAATTTCGTAAGTAAAACAAATGGAACTATATTCAAAAAGAACTTTTGTTCACGTTAAAGGTTAATCACGACCAAAAGTTATGTATCTAATAGAAATGCTATATAACAATAAGAACATTTCTAAGCGATAATTAGCTTACGCATCAGCACTTAAATGTAAGGAGAATTCTCATTTTTTGTCTCACTTTTCACAAATTATATCAAGGTTACTAAAGCCTTACAAAACTAAAACGCATATTCCAAACATACAAATCTTACCACAAATATAGCTGTAACACACAGCAACATATATTTAATACACTTCATTCCGACTTCTAGATTATTCTGCGCCATTTTAAAACACTGAAATAAACAGATTTCAGACTCTTAACTGATAAGGTACGCGTTCGCACACTAACACGATCCAATACTCAATGCCGTGAAAACTGGCTTTTTGTTCAGTGTATCGCTAGGGTTGTCAGAGGTAATTTTTATTTATAATTTCTTTCATACTTTGAAGTTATTTTGTAGTTACATTAATATTTAAACCACAATATAGGGAAAAATATAAGGTTGTTTTTATTAATTACCTTACTTGTTAAAAAGTATATTTAATCATATTGGTATGTACAATTATGAACGTCAATATTAAAATACAAGTCGACATTACAGGAGGAATAGGAGGAGACTGGAGAGCTGGCAGCTACCTCGGACATAGAATTAGTCTAGCTATTCAAATGGGGAACGCTGCCAGTATCTTCGGAAACTTGCCTAAAGGGACTCCTTTAAATAATATATTTTAGTTATTATATTTTAAGGTTAGTTATTGTTTTTTTTTTATTAATGTGTTAATTGTGTTCTATTAATAAATATTAAAAAAATATCCATTGTTACATTCTTCATTACTGAAGGTTGTGCCTGATTTGAAAAGCCGTAACCGATACGTCGACTTGCTGCCTCCACGCCACTCTATCATCAGCTTGTGTCAGTGCATTAGGCATGTTGAGACCTTTAATTATCTTAATTTGGTGAGACCAACGAATAGGCATTACCAGTTCCCAAATCAAATGAGCGGGACATGAAATAGCAAGAAACTCTCCGCCAGTTATACTAGTTGGATGTTGTTGGTTCCTCATGTACATCGTGTTGGACTCACAAGACTGTACTTTATGTTAGGCAAAATAAAAAATATGTTATATTGTGTCCGTTATGCCGTTTATGTTTACTGTCCTGTGACCTTCACAAGTCACCTTCGGGCACTGGGACTGTCGTAGCATTGATAATAATAATTATAATAATAAAAGCCTTTTATTTCAGATACATTACATTAAAATACATCTATCATTAATTCCTAGATATCTGTGTGCGTGTGTGTGTTTCTAGATATCTTTTTTTGGCTCCTGGAGTGCACTGTGCCACTCTCTACCATAATGCTGTTTCATTAATCTGGTCTATCCACCTTCTAAATTGATTTCCTCTTTTGCGTTAATTGTACCACCAGTTTAATTCATAGTTCCTCCACTTTACTGCTCCTCTTGCCATGTGTCCCTCCCATTTTCACTTATGTTTATTTATTTTCAATGTGACGTCTGCTACCTTCATTATTATATCTCTTCTTCTCTTCCGTATCATACATCGTTCCATCGATCTTTGATACACCTGTAGTTTTGTGTGCTGCGCTTTAGTAAGCGCCAAAGTTTGAGATTCATATGTATGTTTTTTGTAATAGGAGGCAAACGGGCAGGAGGCTCACCTGATGTTAAGTGATACCGCCGCCCATGGACACTCACACTCCCATAAGGCTCGCAAGTACGTTGCCGGCCTTTCAAGAATTGGTACGCTCTTTTCTTGAAGGACCCTAAGTCGAATTGGTTCGGAAATACTTCAGTGGGCAGCTGGTTCAACATAGTGGTAGTGCGCGGCAAAAACTGTCTTGAAAAACGCTCATTTAGTACAGGAAGTACATTTATTTCTTACAAATAAGTACATGAGTTAATCTGTGATTTTAATTATTTAATAAATTTTATTTACGCATTCAATTGTTATTAGAATACACAACTGGCATCCCTAAATCAAGATGGCGTCATGCAAATTACAGAATATTATTGGTTTTAAGTTTTTACTTCTCTAAATTGTCAAGTTTTAATTGGCTGACAGTGTGACCGACAGTTTTCCTCTATTACAGATAGTAATATGAATCTTCGGTTAAATTAACTTATTAATAATATCATCAGGTAAGTGTAATTAACATATTTCGATCTACAAGCAATTTCTAATTATATAAATATTAGCAGTTTCAAGTAAAGAGTATTTAGAGAATACATTTCACGTATTTTAGGTACATAATATGTTTATTGTTATGCAACGAAATTTAATGCAGTTTTCATCGATAAACACAATGATTCAAGAAAGGTTTTTTTACAGGAGGCAAACGGGCAGGAGACTCATCTGTTGTTTAATTATTGCAGCCCATGGATACTCAATGCCAGAGACCTCGGGAGTGTGGCTGGCCTTTCAATTTACTTAATATAAAGGAAACTTACTCCTTACTTTACGTCACGCAAAACGACAAGCATGAAATATAAGAAACATTATTTTAAGTTATGTTAATGTTCGTATAGAACCCTCAAAGTCTCACAGTAGGCACTCTTGCATTAGGACAGAGGTTAAGAGAAACTTTTACCCTGCCCCCAGTGCACAGCGAGCAGATGGAGTTGTTGAGTCTGAGTGGACAAGGTATTGCCTCCCGGAGCCCGTGTAACTTTCATAAGATCTGGGTCTGTAAATAACTTCCACAACTATAAATAAAAAATGTGTAACGATTTTTAATAAAATATAAAATGATCCAGACAATTTACTAAAAGCTAAAAATAATTCGGTATGTCCTAAGTACCAGTTATCACACCACATCAATCTAGGGCATCGATGGGGAAAAAATATAAAATCGTCTTTCAAAGAGTTATGCTTACAAACGTGTCTGCTTAATGCCCTATTTGAACGGGGATTTCACATATCCAGCCTGAAGGTTAACGAATAACATTTATGTTTTCATATATTTTATTTTTTTATTATGTTTGACAGCTAAGTATATAACATCTTTTAATTATGCCACATAGAAAGAGCTAAATTTATATAAAAAGATAAAGTACATACAAATCTTTTGTAGTGATATCACTGTTAGCAATGGTTTTATCAGAGATATGATAACCTGATTAGAAAATAGCGCTCACGTATTAATAAAATTATCACCTTTATAAAGTTTTCAACCGTATTTTATGATTCTCCAAACTTAAACGTAATAGCTAATTGTTTATGCTTAACTTTTGCATTTCAATGGGCAAAAACAATTTTTTTACCGCATAATACAATCATGGTATGGTAGATGTAACTATAGCTGTCTTGTCAGTGACAAATGCATATAAAAATTATTCTTCAACTAATTTATAGCGAACACACAAATATTTACAATATTCTTAACCTACATAGTAATAATAATAATTAAAAATTGATAAATAGAAAATTAAAATCAATTTAAAAAGTTTGGTAATCATTCATGCTGGCAGCATTTATTCGCTGTATTGCGATACTTATTCGTTAAGAGAGGAAAGCACCAGTCTTGGGTCACCTGTACTATCTACCAAGCGCCAACTTAAAAGAGAACCATGTAACTGAACTATGGTGTGGTGGAAGAAAAGGGGAATAAATGTGGTGTCACCTAGCCACGATTCTCACAACACTCGATAACACTGCGTTAATAATAAACCAACAAAGTAGAGATATCACTAAACACAACACCTTACATTATACGACCTTCAGTAATTAACAATACGACTGAAAAGAAGAGAAGAGATTATTTTCCGCCTGCTTGATTCCTTCAACTTATTTTTTATTTTGCTTAACATTAAGAGCAGTGTTGGCCTAGTGGCTTCAGCGTGCGACTTTCAACCCTGAGGTCGTAGGTTCTATCCCCGGCTGTGCACCAATGTATTTCTATGTGCGCATTTAACATTCGCTTAAACGCCTTAGACCCAAAAAGTCGACGGCGTGTGTCAGGCACAGAAGGCTGCCTATAAGATTGATTAAATCGTGAAACATATACAGAAATCTGAGTTCCAGACCTGAAAAGATTTTAATTGATTTTTTTAAAGTTAAGGTAGTAAATACTTCATCCGTCTCTCACCATAGACGTTGTTTGCTCTCGAAGTACAGACTCCAAGTTGCGTTACAGCTCGGCTATGTACGTCATGCTCACCTCATTGTTTTAAGACACATTTCTGTTCTGTTTATTTTTTATGTAAAATTATTATAAACGTGTCCCTGTGACCGTCATGTCGACCGTAATCTGTTTTAAATTGCAAAATATGACCGTCCTACGTTCCAGACAACAGTTGTTGTAACAACTTAAGTACCTATATTTTTACTTAATTATTCATTAAACCAAAGCCTGATTGCGCTCCTTTAATTAAAGTACTCGTTTGTCTCTGTCTTCCAAATCGTGTTTACACTGAGTTGGAAAAAGACACTTTCGTTAGACTGCAATTAGACTATGTTGTGTCTGCTATATGCAGAGGTTCCAAGGATCAGTTTGGTTCATTATTCCTGTTTATATACATATAAATAATAAAGTGACGGGCCCAAAACATCTTGTAATTCATTCCTAAATTTATTTATTATATAATTTGCATTTGTTTCATTCTTATATTTTGCTTCACAGTGTTGGCCCAGTGGCTTCAACGTACGCCTCTGATCTCTGATGCCTGCGGTCGTAGGTTCGAACCTCGGCTGTGGACCAATGGACTCTCTATCTGCGCATTAACACTAGCTCGTATAGTGAACGAAAATATCGTGAGGAAACCGGCATATCCTACACCCGAAAAGTCGACGGGGTGTGTCAGGCTGAATCAATAATCATCTGAAGAAGGCTGATCACCTACTTGTCTATTAGAAAAAACAAATGAACACGTAAACAGATAATATTAATATTCTGTGTAATTTTGGAGGGTTCAAAGAAGCATGTACGCAAACATTACATCTTCTAATTAAAATATTTACGTATTGAGAAATGATTCATAACTAGACGATATAAGTTTTTTAAGTGTAGAAATGATAATTCATCAATTATTGAGAAGGTATCTTAAAAAACGTTATAATTAAAACAATGTACACTATATTTATTTACAATGTAACTTGAAATGTGTGACATTCTAAGAAGCGATTAACGAAGTACCTATAAGTAATCATTCTAAAGTTCCTTCTTATATATTCCTATATATGTATATGTAAGTTATCGATATTGTGCACGACAGTTTTTTTATCTCCATCTTAAAAATCATGTATGATGTTTACTTCGCTCCGCGAAAGTTTTGCATTGCAACTTTTCCATATTTTTACAAACCTTTTAAAACCTCCGATGCAAGGTACGGCATGTCTGCCAAAACGAATAAATCAGGCGTTGCAGGGTCATCACTTCTTTCATTTTAAAATGCTGCAGACTTACTCACAACATGGGTATTTACGCGAAATATTTTACCAAACTTTAGTACATAAGGTTGAAAACCTTTCAATATTTTTATTTCGGGAATAGCTTGGAATTAAGTGCGCAAACTTAGGCGCGAACAATCGAGATATAAATGCCAATCAGTAGCTATCTCATTCATAAAAACAAAATCAGTTTTTATGCATCAATAATCTAAAGTCTGTCTTTTTCTGACAAATTGCATTTATGCTAAGATGAATAGAGACAGGTATCTTACATAATTACACTGATTTATTTTTTATGACGAAGGACGACTTTGCGATGGGTTTAATAAAAAGCAGTTATAATATTAACTATGTATAATTAAAACAGCTGATTCTTCTACAGAATTGACAGTTTTGGTCTGTCGCAGTCTAAGTGGTTCTGCTATCTTCAATGACAACTAGCTGATATACGGGTTGGAAAGTTTCATCTCATTTTAAATATTAGCACCAATACAATTCTTAATTACGAAACAAAGTAACGATCTCTATAGATTTCGTGGTTTTTTGATTTAAACATCTCTTGTACTATAAATGTAATTAACACTACTTAAGGAAATTGTCTTTCTTGTCTCGTGATGTTCGCCAACCATAACGCTCCAACCACAGCTAAGGCCTGAAAAACCCAACAATCTTTAATTTTACGAGATTTTTCCTAAACGAAATTCGATCAAATTTTACGTTTGAACATGATAAATAATATGAATTTCAATTTGGTTGGATGGTTCAACATGGTTTTTTACCAATACTTTTAGTTGAATATGCGATTATACTTGTTACTTTGCTGAAACCCAGCCTTGAATTATTCAGTATATGTCCGGTATCGTACAAAATATTGTTCACCAGGAATTGTTTTAAAACAGTTCAGTCATTTCTAGATAATTTACCAATATTAATTATTTGTTATTTAATATATATGCAAATTTAGCTAATAATATTCAATATAAGCGACTAAATGCCATTTATTTTGTTATCTACCATTACACTGTATGAAAAAGAAGAAAGTATAAGTTTTAATTAAAATTTTAGTTGTTTTTGTTTGTCAGTTTGTAGTTGCATCGCGAAGTAGCAGTCTGCACTGCTATACACACACAAAAAGAACCTGCCTAGCGGTGCAATCCGCTCGTATAATTACCTGTATAATAATAATAATTTAGGCTTAACTCCTCGAAACATTCATCCTCCTTGATAAAAGATACATACAATTAAAATTGTATACAAAAATAATTATATTTCTATCAAGGACTTCTCATAGAGTATAGACCTCTAACCGGCTTCAATCTTGAACATTTTGCTCCCAATCTCCCCACCGAGTTCTTTAAGATCGTTAGCATAACATAAGTATGTCCTGCTACCTGCAAATGCAGCACTTGCAAAATAGCAGATAAACGCGGTAAACCTGTTTTTAGGAGTCTGAAATACAATTTAATGATAAAGAAAAGTTATTATATACCTGCATAATTACAAGAACAATCCCTGCCACTCCAATAGACGCAGCGTGAGACTTGACCCAGTTCCCAAATGCATCAGAGCACCCAGTGGTATAGGCCAAAGTTGTGTTGCAGTTGAATGTTTGAATGGTGCCGTAGACATGGTCGCAGCAACTGATGGGTAGACCGAAGGATTCTTCCGTATGAAGATGGGGTAACCAGTCGCTCGAGTTCAGGACGCCGCAACAGGTGAACTGTAAATAATATTTGGTTCAGTATCATCATAGGAACATCTTAATTATCTGACTGAAATAAAATTTACGACCTATTCTTATCTAATATATAAAATTCTCGTGTCGCGGTGTTTGTAGTTAAACTCCTCCGAAACGGCTTGACCGATTCTCATGAAATTTTGTGTGCATATTGGGTATGTCTAAGAATCAGACATCTATTTTTCATCCCCCTAAATGTTAAGGGTAGTACACCCCTAAATTATTATTTTTTTAATTTTTAGATATTTTTTTATGATACAGCATTAAAAAATACATTCAACCCCTAATTTTCACCCCTCTACGATCAACCCCTATTTTTTACTATAAATGATATACATGGCAAAATGACGTTTGCCGGATCAGCTAGTAACTTATAAAACTTTTACATAAAAATCGGTCGGGGCGTTTCTGAGAACACCTTGGTCAAACCGTGGTTATCAAATCTTAACTATATAATATTATTATCATCGCATATGGCCAATCTACACAGAAATCGTTTATTAAAACCTAACCATAATAATAAAATATTTACAATAAAATATACAGTATTTACAATTTTCTTAACCTACAAATCTTATTAATTTATCAATCTTAAAGAGTTCGATTATTTTATGAACATTAAAAAAATAATATATTATTTGTTCAGTAAAAAATAAGTACCAAAATTTTATTTTGGACTGAACAAATGATTCAAAAAGTTGAAAACATTGCCTTGGCGAATCATCGTGTTACTGTTTGTTTTATAGCAGAATAAATGAAGATTTCTATAGGAAGAGTCCATAATATTATACACATTTGGGTGTGAAAAAGTGCCACCAGCTCAGCACGCCGGGTGCCCGAATTCTTTCTGACGCGCAAACGAGATTGTGAATTTCACAAAGCTGTTTCACAAAATTACACCAGCCAAAGGGTGGTTATTCTATTGCTAAAGGTGTTTTGTTTCACCAAGATAAATTTCTTGCGGACAAACCCATAGTTGTAATGTCAAGAAGCTGGCTTCGAATTGATGGAACATCCAATATAATCACTGGAGCATCCTCCACATTTCCGCGGTTAAAGGAACACAGTACCCGTCGCGGTACACGATCTTCTAAGTTATAAGGAAGATTCTTTTTAATCTTTGCTTTAGAAAAGAGGTGCCTACGTCGAGAATAAAATAACATATCATAAAAGATAATTGCGTCATACACTCAGTGTAATATCGTACGACCAAATTATGCGGGTGCATATATGTTATAAAAACATAGTTATGCGCCATGCATTCATGTTATTGAAGTCTAATAGTACAATAATAATACAGGCTTGTCATGCTTGGCTAAGAGGCAGCTGTAAAATATGTCTGATAACACTGATAACGCAAGTTTTAAGTACCCCTTTTGTTGTTGTATTATACGTTAAAAACGTTATTACATTCTGCAAAGTATGTCAGTAGAAATATTATCCAAATAACTTCGTTTTTCCAAAAACATGTTAAAGTATCATGTTTAACTGTTTAGTAACTTACAGATTAGTAAAAAAATTATCATAATTATCAATTAGATGATGCGATCCGAGGCCAAGCAATATGGCGATTTCTTTATTTAACTATAACTTTTACCTTTTTTTAGCACAAGGCAGGCAGAAGGCTCGCCTAATGTTAAGTGATACCGCCGCCTATGGACATATATACTTCTGACAGAATATTCAATGTATTTTGGGATTCGATCTTGGGATCTGTTTAAATCATAAAACTTACGTCATTTTGCACTTCATCCCATAACTTAGTCACCTCCAGGTTTGAACCATACACATCCATGGTGTTCAACAGCTGTTGCTGTACGAGCGCCACTGTGCTGCCTTTCAGCACGTATCCAGCGATGCAGGCTGATAGTTGGAATACAAACATCAACACCATAGCTCCGGCAAACTGAAATGGAACATCACATTCTATTACTTTTTACGCTCCTTTAACAAAATTACGCTCATTTACTCCTTTTGGTAAAAGAGTGAGCAGTGTTGGCCTAGTGGCTTCAGGGTGCGACTATCATCCCTGAGGTCGTAGGTTCGATCCCCGGCTGTGCACCAATGGACTTTCTTTTTATGTGCACATTTAACATTCGCTCGAACGGTGAAGGAAAACATCGTAAGCCTTGCCGGCTTGCCTTAGACCCAAAAAGTCAACGGCGTGTGTCAGTCACTGGAAGCTGATAACCTACTTGCCTATTAGATTTAAAAATGATCATGAAACAGATTCAGAAATTTGAAGCCAAGACCTAAAGAGGTTGTAGCGCCACTGATTTTTTTTTCATAAATTGTATCTTATGACATAACATAAAGAAAGAGAAAACTTTATTATACACAATATACAGGATATTTAGGTAAAGTAAAGTGCGCAGGAACCTCACTAGGATTCCCTGTGCTGTAGCCATTCTCTTCCTTTTGACATGAAAACAGCATTTTACTTAGTGATTTCTACATAACACAAATTTATATTTAAACTATTTTTACACAATAAGAATATTTTCTGTATCAGCATAGAACAGGTTGACAAGATATTGTTTGAGATTTTTAGTAAGTGTAATGTGGGTTTTGAAATGTTAGTGATAATTTTGTTTCTAAGGAAGTGGTTAAAGATGAAAGGGCCTCGGAAGGAGAAAAATCGTCGGACGAAGAAAGTGCTTTTTTGACAGATTCCTTCGGATCTCTTAATGGTATCCCATTTTTATACTTTACGTCTGTGCAATCTGCTACAAGGCATGAGCCCATTTTCGGATCGCCCATCCATTTACAGGATTCTGTTATCAATCTCTTAGGTTTTTTGCTGTTTACTGTATTTTTGTAATTCTTTTGTAATATTTATCATTGTATTATAAGAATTATGTTGGTGCACGCCGTGCCTATAATCGAGGCACACATTGGTTGTAATTTGCATAACTTGTTTCTTTTCTTTTTCGTTTGTGTGGCCTTGTTGGTGTAGCTATAAATAGATCACTATTCTTTCATTCCAAATACATGCATGCAATTAAGCATACAAGAAAGAAAATACAGTCGACTCTCTATCATTTGAAACTGAAGGTACCCGAGATAATCAAAGATTCGAAAAGAAAGAGATTGAAATTACCAAGAGTTCAAATTAACAAGCGTTTAAATGACCACGAGGGGACTCAAGTAAATAAGAGATTTTTGGTTTTATATTATTATTATGTATTAACAATTAAATACAATAATCCAATTCACAAATTTTATTTCGAAAAGAAGTCCGTTTTTTTTGAGAGAGTGACTTCAGTCTATCATCCCCGAAACATTTTAGTTCAAAAGACAGATCTGTATATGATAAACACTATACATAAAGAGAGTAGTGAAGCCCGAACTTCAAGTATTCAAGTATTTTTCACATTCATCGAAAGATTCAAATTAACATTCAAATTATAGAACTCGTGGATACACACCTAACATAACCCCCTTCACCTTTAAATTACATAATATGAAAATGTTTATAGCCGTAAAGAAAACTCGCCTTTTTATTAAAGTTAAAAATTGATAGGGGATTGTCTTAAGCCGAATTAAAGAACTTGACCGGTCTCGCCTAATCTGTCTGAATTGGAGGATTAAATTACTGAGGATATATTACATAAATGTGGCTTCAATAATAATAAATACTCATTAGTGTTTATGCAAATCGGCGTTAAACATATGCGTACGTAAACGTATTTCTATGTAATTTAGTTTTAATAAATTTGGCAAACAATTTTCCAATATAAAACTCGAATTTAAGCGAGCATTAGGCTAGCAGCTTTCATGATTTCACCCGCGCGTTTCCCTCCGCCCGCTCTAGTGGTAAGTGAAACAAACGCATACCAGCCCTGGGATTCTGTAACTCACTTTTCGAACTCACACAGCGGTTTTCGCTTCTGAAAAGGTCGGAGCTTGTAGTTTATTGTTTATCAGAATGCCAAATCATAAAATGACTGCTTCACGACTGATATGAGAGCGACCGCCGATGCAAAACCGTGAGTTACAGAATCAGGCTGAAGTTGGTAATAAGGCGGACGGTAAGCGTTACGTGGAGCAAAAATTAAGCAAACGCCGAATGATTTTTATTGAAATATCTCGTAAAATATTGCTATAACACCCAACTTTTTTTCAATAAATAATGATAAATGAAATATCTAACACGCGCCTGGGAATGAGTATATATATTTTTTTACAGCACATCTAATTTCAATATTGACTTGTATGTATAATTTAACATTAAGTTTAAAACTTTCTTACAGAGAATTTAATTAAGGGGTTCTAGTGCACAGGTGCTAATGAAAGATTTAAGTTGGCGCCTGGTAAATAGTACCGGTGACCCCAGAGCTGGTGCTTTCCTCCCTCAACGAATAAGTATCGCAATACAGCGAGGAAATGCAGCCAGCGTTAAAGGTACACTTCCATAGGAATAAAACTTTTTAAATTTTATTTTTATCTTCTATTTTTTAATTATATTTATTATTTATTATATATATAGTTATATGTATATGTAGAAAGCAAATCTATTTTTAACTTTCAAAACACAAAATATTTTTTTTAAACTTATCTTTGGATATGGTAATTACTAATTATTGTTTATTATTTTATCAAAAATAAGTGGCATTGTCTGTTAAATCGTTATCAACCTGATAAAAAGTTCTATATTTGAATAGCCTAATAAAATACGTATTTTCCTAAAAATTTCACTGTTTCCATTCAATTTGTTCACTGTTTTAATTTACTGTCATCATAAGTTAAGGACGGAATAGAAAACAAGAATTTCCCGGAAAGATTTTGTAATTACCGTATATTTGATACCGTTACGTAGATTTTGTGATAAACCAATAAAAAAGGCCGATACGGTACAACCCTTGGCCTCCGATTTTTATGTTTTGTAATTATTTTTTTCTTAATAGACAAGAAGGTGATCAGCCATCCGTGCCTGACACGCGCTGTCGACACTTTGGTTCTAAGACATGCCGGTTTCCTCGCAATGTTTTCCTTCAACCGTATGAACGTTAGATGCACACATGAGAGTTCATTGGTACACAGCCGTGATTCGAATACAAGACCTCCGAGTTCGTTAGGTTACAATCCACTTGGCCAACAGTCTTATAAATAATACTTAGGTATATTTTTAGTATGTAATAAATAAAAGAAAAAGAATCTACTATGTATGAAGTGTTTTGAATTTGTGTATTATTCATATAAGTATTACAAGTACGTACTTATCTTTGGAAATGAATACCAGTAGATAGTGCGTTGGTAGGTATTAAATTCAAAAAACACGTCATTGTTTATAATATTATGGTTTTAGTCATGGGCAGTGACAAACAAAAAGTTATGCAATAATGTAACAAATTTGCGTATATATCCGTCAAAGAAGTTAGATATTTATACTTGACACTTACTTAAAAACAGTATTAATGGATTAAAACGAATTTACAATTTAGATAAATTAAGTATTTCTTGCGCGATACGTGTGTTTGAATCAGTCCAAAATTTTATCGTATCGTAATTACACCACACACAATGAGCACACCCCACATACCCTCACTTTCACACCATCACACAATACAGCCGAATTACGTATTACTTAATTAAATTTAATAATTTCTATTGATTTTATACTTTTGAAAATGTTTGAACTTTTTTGTGTATATTATGTATTCCATCTTTAGTAAAATTGTTTTATGGCGCGTCTAAACGGGCCATGTTTTGCTGCAATTGATGGCTGCACTGTTGGCCACTAATTGCCCGGCCATTACAAAAATATTTTAATGCAGCTGATGGCCGAACAATCTATGGCTGGGCAATATGTTGCAATATGTCTGCAATAGTATGGCCCATGATGCAGACTCCTAAACGGGCTACACAAACCGGCAACAATGGCTGACGAAATCACACTTGTCGAGCAGCTTATATTGTTTTAAAAAAAGAAACAGAAAAAGAAGAGATTGTGGATTCGACCTTACTTAAATAGGGTGAAACTGTAGACAATTTGAGTCTAGAAATAAGTCTTGATAATAAATTATTCAAGAACTAGAATGTCAAAAGTAGTCATTTTTAGTAGTAATCTAACGTCAAATAAGCTGATCGCAAAACACAGAATAAAGCAACACGCACACTTCACTCAAAGCAAACGTCATGTCGCGTAGAAAAGGATACACTATGCCATAACAAAGAGAGTGACTGAAACAACAAGAGAACTGTGTGCAATATTGCAGTTGAATTGAAGTAGGATTCCGGCCACCATCGGGGCAACATCGGCCATATGTGGCTATACAAAACATGTTTGGCTATATGGCCGGGACATAACTGCAATATTGATAGTGTGGCTGCTATTGTTTGCAATGTTGGGACAGTGTTGCAGCCATAATTGCAGCAAAACATGGCCCGTTTAGAGCGCATTATGTTATTATATATATATATATATATTATAATTTATGATAGCTGTAGGATTACGAAATAAAAAAATTAATTTAATTATTGCATTTCCAACGCAATACTATTTACGTTTGTAAAGAGCATACCAATTTTTTACACGAACGCTCCTAGTGGGAGTGCCATGCTGTTGCCTTCGGGCTTCAGCCAAATGGGCAGGCACGACCGGGGCAGTACCACTGTCTCTCAGAAAACCGGCGTGAAGTGATGCAATAAGTTCGCCTTATTGTACTCGCGTTTCGTGGGTGAGAGATCCGGAGCCATTCCCCCCCACAAGAAATATGAAGGTGCAGAATCTACCCCAGGGGGGTACCACACGCGCTCGCGGTGGAGAATCCCCTCTGGGCGTCCAACACCGGGACACTCTGCGCCCGGTGGTGGACGCACAGGCTGCCCTTCGTATTCTGGGGGGGGCAATTCTGCGCTCGGTAAAAACATTAATCGTTCTCGGGGCAAACGGAGCAATTTAACAAAGGCACCCCCGTCCACACTCGCCGTGGACTTCACAAATGTTAGGGGGCTCAATTCCAACATCAACGCTGTCCACTACCACTTAGAGACTGCGAAGCCGGCCTTGCTCTTTCTTACCGAGACTCAGATATCCCCCCCGGCTGATACTTCCTACCTCTCCTACCCGGGGTACAAATTGGAACATTCATTTGTGCCGCGGGCGGGACCTATCTAACCTCTGGCTGCGCGTAGACTGCGATGACCTACGCATGCCTGTATAGGTCCCATAGCGGAAATACCGAAACTGACCGACTCATTGAGCACATCCAAATGGCTACAGATTCCCTGCTCGAAAGGGTTCCTACCGCTGAAATCGTGATACTTGGCGATTTTAACGCCCACCATGCCGATTGGCTCGGCTCAGAAACCACCGATCATGCGGGAAGATCCTTTCACGACTTTGCTTTGGCTTACGACTTGACGCAAATGGTCCCTGCGATTACGCGAATACCAGATGTGGATGGTCATAAACCCTCTTTGTTGGACCTTCTGCTGACTTCACATCCGGAGAACTACCAAGTCTCTGTTGAACCGCCATTGGGTTCATCAGATCATTGTGTGGTCCGGAGCATTGTGCCGTTCACGCGCCCTCTTCGGCCTAGCTTCACGGGCTGTCGCCGCGTGTGGCACTATAAGTCAGCAGATTGGGATGGGATGCGGTCTTTTTTTGCGTCCTACCCTTGGGGGCCCATTTGCTTTTCGTCGAGTACTCCAGATGCCGTCGCTGACTCTGTCGCCGAGGTGGTCCTGCAGGGTATGGAACTCTTTATTCCATTCTCTGCGGTGCCGGTCGGTGGCAAGTCCCAGCCTTGGTTTAGGCGTTCTTGCAAAGCGGCTTTGCGCCGTAAGCGTGAATGCTTTAAAGCCTGGGCAGAAGCGGTGACATCCTGTGATGTGACTATCGGCGAACGTAAAAAAGCATACAATTCAGCCTCCAGGTCCTTCAAGCGAGAAATCGCTAAAGCAAAGTCAGAGCACATTGCCAGATTTGGTGAGAAATTGGCCCACCTCCCTTCGGGAACTCGAGCCTTCTGGTCTCTTGCCAAAGCTGTCCAAGGGAATTTCTGTCTGCCCTCAATTCCACCACTGCATAGGGAGGATGACTCACTGGCCCATACCGCGAAAGAGAAGGCCGATCTTCTAGGCTGTCTCTTTGCGTCGAACTCCACTTTGGATGATCAAGGGAAGGAACCACCGACATTATTGCGGTGTGATACTACGATGCCCGAAGTTATATTCCGGCAACGTGCTATCCGTAAAGCTTTGTCTTCCTTGGACATCCATAAGTCGAGCGGGCCCGATGGCATCCCTCCAATTGTGCTGCGTACTTGTGCTCCTGAGTTGGCTCCGGTCCTAACGCGCCTTTTCCGGTACCTTTACACGCTCGGCACTGTTCCGAAGTGCTGGAAGATCGCTTCGATACATCCGATCCCTAAAAAAGGCGATCGCTCTGATCCGTCCAACTATCGCCCAATAGCTATAACCTCCTTGTTCTCCAAAATAATGGAAACCATTATTAACAGCCAGCTCCTGAGGTATCTAGAGGGCCACCAGCTGATTAGCGATTCTCAGTACGGCTTTCGTCGTGGTCGCTCAGCTGGTGACCTCCTTGTATACCTTACACATAGGTGGGCAGAGGCAATTGAGTCCAAGGGGGAGGCGCTGGCGGTAAGTTTGGACATAGCGAAAGCCTTCGATCGGGTGTGGCACAGAGCACTGCTCTCGAAGCTTCCAGCCTACGGGCTCCCTGAGAAATTATGCAACTGGATTTCCAGCTTTCTCGCTGATCGGAGCATCATAGTCGTCATCGACGGAGCATGCTCCGACCTGAAACCTGTGAATGCTGGTGTCCCACAAGGCTGTGTCCTATCCCCGACCCTGTTTATTCTGCATATCAATGATATGTTGCAGCTTAGCAACATTCATTGCTATGCGGACGACAGCACTGGGGATACTTTTTACACTGGCCGGGCAGGTATTTCTCGGGCTGTTGTCGATGAGTACCGGAACAAACTTGTGTCTGAAGTCGAAACTCTTCTACGTGGAGTCTCGGACTGGGGTAGACTAAATCTAGTCCAATTTAACCCCAAGAAGACACAAGTATGCGCGTTTTCCGCTAAAAAAACTCCCTTTGAAGACACTCCCTCTTAAAGACACTCTCCTTAAAGCCTCAGCTAGCATCGGAATACTGGGCGTTGACATATCGAATAACGTTCAGTTTCGCGGTCATCTGGAAGGAAAGGCTAAATTAGCCTCCAAAAAGCTTGGTGTGCTCAGCAAGGCGAGACGGTACTTCACTCCGGGCCACCGCTTGCAACTATATAAAGCGCAAATTCGGCCCCATATGGAGTACTGCTCTCACCTCTGGGCGGGAGCTCCCCAGTACCAGCTCCTTCCACTTGACCGTATTCAACGAAGAGCGGTTCGAATCGTCGACGACCAGTCACTTTCCGTGCGGCTTGGATCCGCCCCTGGCGTTGCGTAGAGATGTGGGATCTCTCTGCATCTTCTACCGCATTTACCATGGAGAGTGTTCAGAGGAGTTGTTCGGTCTAATACCTGCAGCTGAGTTTCATCATCGGACGTCAAGGCAAAATACAAAATACCATCCGTATCACCTCGACGTCCGTCGTTCCACAACAGAGCGTTTTCTAAGGCAGTTTTTGCCGCGCACCACCACTATGTGGAACCAGCTGCCCACAGAAGTATTTCCGAACCAATTCGACTTAGGGTCCTTCAAGAAAAGAGCGTACCAATTCTTGAAAGGCCGGCAACGCACTTGCAAGCCTTCTGGCATTGTGAGTGTCCATGGACGGCGGTATCACTTAACATCAGGTGAGCCTCCTGCCCGTTTGCCTCCTATCACATAAAAAAAAAAAAAAAAAACGGGATATTTTAGTGTCCCTGTAGGTACTTACTACCTATGCCCCGTTTCTGAACGAATATACTATTACATCATTCCTGTATATAATTAATGCGGAAGTCATTTCGATCACTGCCTGCCTATTTGTTGTATTCTCTCCCTCCCTTATTCATACAAATAAATCAGTTTAATTGAACAGTTTTAACTATAATACTCATCTCTATTTGTCACAGCATAAACAAACTTGAGGGAAAGAGACGAAGTATACTTTAGTTCAATTATTTTTTATGAAAAATTCTTATCTACTCCTATATAGATACATATATAAACATGCTTGAAAAAACTAAGCTGATGAATATATAATAAGGATTCTAATATTTTATTCATTACAATTATACGCCACTAGAGCCAAGAAAATGAATCCCGTCAGTGATACCATACAAATTCTCTAAATAGCTTGACATTTGGGATTTAGGACATGCTCCGCGTATGTAATAATCGTATTAATCTCTGTTCAGACTACCTATTGTGTTTTCTTTGACGTTACAGTCTAATGGAGTACAGTTCTACATCTGTTTTATAGATTTTTAGGCAATTTAATCTTTTCTTGCTACCGAAACAATTATTATTATGTCGGAAATCGAAGGTAGGTTATTCAGGTGTACCAATTAATAATTTAAGATAAGGGTTTATCATAGCATTTATGAGTTATTAAAGTAATTAAGAATAAGCGGAAAAGCGCTGAATGATAATACAAATTGTTTCATTGATCATTGATAATAAAATTCAGTACCTATTATGAATAATTTATGTACAAGTTATTCTTACGATTTCATCTTTATTATTTTATTATAACCTATTTGTTAAATCACGTCTAGAATTGTCTTTAATCATAGAGCATAGAATGAATCATAGTCTGTGGCAACTTACCGCCATAATCATATAATAACTCTCCATGAAGGCGCCATAAAATCCAGCGAATGCAACGAGGAATATTATCACTCCAGTTGCAACACAAAATGCAGGGAGAGAGAAAAACCTCTCCGATAAGAATTGATGGTATCCATTGTATGCTGATTGCACCGAACTACCGACCGCCAGTACAATAATACCCGTTATCTGAAAAACACTTTATTTTCACTTTCCATACACTAAATTTACACTGATTCTCGATTCGCACTTACCAGGAATAAGAAATTCACTGATACTAATGTGTATTTTACGGTGGTAAAGATTTTGCTCAACATTTTGATTTTACGTACGCGCTGGGCGTCCGCGTGATATGCAATAGACTAGAGTTGTGTTTCTCGGATATTTTTATCGCAAATATAATCTTTGATAAGGAAAACGGGCTGATTTATCTTACCAGAGACATTTATAATAGAGCGTAATTTTAGCAATTTTCCGTAGTAAACTTATGAGGTACGTATTATCAAAATACTTAAATTTACTTAAAAACAAATGAACGTGTTTCGGGGTGCTGGGGGGGGAACTGGAGCCTACTAAGGAAAAAGTTCAATAAAAGGCAAATTTATTGATACTTTATTAACTTTAAATTGTATTGTTTTACATATTTATTCACTGTATTGGTTACCAAAATCGTGTACGTAAGTAATTTTTATTTACCTACTAATAAAAAAAAATTTATATCCCTTACTGACTTGGGATATTGAAGTCCATTTAGTTTACCCCGATTCGACACCACCATAACAGGAACCAGAAATCGAAATGTTTGAACATTTAAGCGATGTATTAAATAAAAACTGACGCTTGACACACCGGTTATGTAGGTAACATGTAAACAGGAAAACTTAGGATTTAAAACTTTAAAATTGTTGTCTCATAATTAAGATAGAAGAATGAGTAGGATTATGACGACCTGACAGCCAACCTCCAGTAGTGGAGACCAAATCATTCTTCTTCTTGTAGCGCACAAGAAGAAGAATGATGTGGTCTAATAAGTAGTTGGTGGTCTCGAGTCATTCTATGCATGATTTTATTACACACCCTGGTTTGTCAATTCAGCTTATAATCTTATTCATTAATCCAAACATTTTTAATCTTGGCAGTTGCCTATGCAAATTTAATAGGCCTGTAACTTTTTTTCTAACATAATACTTTAATGAATCAATTAATATGAATGAATTATTTAATTTCCTTTCGTTTGACAACATAAAAGCAATTCTTTGGAATCTATATTATAATTGAAATTTATATCACGAGCTTTTCAGCTTTCCCATTATTAACAAACAAACAGGAAATCAATGTTATAATAATAAGTGACACTAAAAATTCACATAGAACGATTTGCATAAATTACTGTGGGAAATAGAACCGGCTTCATTAAAATTAGAATAACATACTTATTTAAAGGGAAAAGTTCATAAGTATAATAGTTTGATGATGTGAAAACACATTTAATTCTGATAATTTTTTTTTAATTTTGTTGGTACATAAAGGAACGTGAACAGCGATATTTAATGATTATGTGAAATTATCTTTAAATCGTTTAAGGACTTAACGCCTGTGATAAAATACAACAATGCCTGATAGCTTTTTGTATGACTTTTGCTTCAGGCGCACATAAAGTTACAAACAATTATATTAAGATTAACTACATAACAAAGTACACATGGAAGTTGGAACGTAATTGGTATCTATCGTAATTTTGAAATTGATTCTGTAGAGGCTTAGAAGACGTTTTGCCAACAGTGATGTTTGAGTTCTGTGGATCATTGGTGAATCCAGGTTCGCTTGCGATAAAGGCAAGGGAAGGAGCGGTAACGGGCCATCTGGAAGCAATCTGGATCCTCTTTTTGCAAGCTCATTGCTAGGAGATCCATTATGTCCTTTTATCCACTGGATGGTAAGCTTCTTACGCGATGGCGTAATCTGGCGGCTGCATCAGCAGAGAACGCATTACCAGATACAAATTTAATATCTAACCTAACCGTTGTACGTCTCTGGCTGCTTCGGTTAGAGCGACACATTCGCATTGAAAAATAGAGCTGTGTGTGCCTAAAGGTTTATGAAATATGAATGTTGACGCTGAGATTAAGAGAGAATATGTCACACCCTGTTCTTGAGCCATTAGTGTATATACGTAGCACATTCAGGGTCGATTGATCATGTTCCTCTTCTCTCATTTGAGCATGATATTTTCTGTTGAAAATGTGTTGGTTAGCGATCCTATCACATGGTGCGGCTGAGCAGTTGATAAATGATACTCTATCACCCTGTTTAGAATAGCTGTGTGTGTACTGTCGTGGTTTTTTCTCCATAGATCTAAGTGCATATGTCTGATGGCAGTCAGTCAGTCCTGCTGTACGTAGAGGTCTACGGGGTACGATTTCCAGGGCTATCTCCATCGCTGCTGTTAGCGTTGCTGTCATGCAACCGCTGGCAGCGGACAAGGCGAACTTTTGGGAGCGTCCTAGTTTTGTGATTGCCATTCTGTGTCCCGATCTCGGTCATAAGTCAGAATTGGCTTAATTACAGCAGTATATAACAATTATGTTATTTTAGGCGATAAACCCCATATAACGGATAGATGCTAGGTCTTTTTGCATTGATAGAAGGCGATTGTTGCTTTATTTATTTTGTATTCAAGGTGTTTGTTCCAGAGCACTTTACTGTCTAGAGTAACACCTAAATATTTGATTTCATTCTTGAGTTTTAGTTCTGTATTGAACAGTTTGGGAAATCTGTAAGGTCCAGCGACTCTTTGGTTGGTACAAGATCAATTCAGTTTTTTCTGGATTTATAGACAGACCTATTAGCAGCTACACAATCCGTGCCATGACGTCATAAATCTTGCTAACTTTTCGACCACTGAATATATTTTCAACCACTTGATATCGGTTGTTGGAGCCTTCCAGCCAGTCAGCGGTTAGAATGGTCGATGGTCTTCTTTTTAGATTGGAGGATGCATCTTCCTTCCTTCACAGCCCACTATCGAAATCTCATCCGGGTTGAGACTGAAATAGGGTTGAAGGTGAAAAAATAAAATGATAACCTTGTTTTTATAAAATCTTTATTATCTATATAGGTATTATAGAGTGACGTATTTTAGATGTGATATACCTGACTCTAGAATCTACGATACACAATGACGTTAACATAGAGTAAGGTTATTACAGATTACATCTATTTGATTTACAATCATAAAACCAATCTTAAGTTTTCGTTCCATGTAATTCCTAGTTTGTGACATCAGTAATTGTTACCTAATTATTACAAACATTCTTATGATATTCAACTCTTATGATAATGAAATATATTTGTGACAGGATTGTCATTATTAGAGTTTTAATTCGTCACCTATCTAAACATTTTATGTGTTATATGGTCTGGGCTTAAATTTACGACTCCAACTCAACTTCTTCGAACTTGGCCCTCCACGCTAGCCACCCGGACATTGCTGTCAACAAAGCCTGTAAACCAAGAAAATAGGTAAGACAACTTTCGAGTTCCATCATCAAAGTAGCTAGGAGCATTGATGTTCCAAAGTAGTATAAAGTAAATTAATACCCATAATGGGTGTAAGATTTCTGCCGGAGCCAACCAAACCTGAAACACCTTAATAGATCTTCATAAGATCTAACAACAGAGCGGTTCTTTTGTCATACTAGGTCCATCAGCTACGACGAAGTTTTGGGTTAAACCTATTCCATAGACATAACTAATAGAATTATTTTTAAAGCCAACTTCACCGCTTTAAAATAGCGAGATTCGATTCTGAATAAAATAATTGTTTCTGTTTAATGTCTCAATGCTGGATCTTCAAGAGATATCAAACCATTTTTGTCTTAACGAACACATGTACCGCTTGAAGTGACTTTAAATATCGACGTTCATAGACAAGCAATTAAACAAGAAAGCCTCAATAAAATCTACATACTTCAATACTACTACTACCTATTTCACTGATACTTAACTCCCCATTTCTATGTGATTCACGCCTTCCGAAACTTTAAAATTCATTTTTCATTTCATATAAGTACCTAAATCATAAGAACAGGATGTCTTTACTCATAAGTACGAAACTTGGCTTCTGCGCATCTTCGCCGTACCAACATATATGTATGTCGAAAGCTATAAATAATTAAAATATAACTAAACGATTTCATCTAACATATAATATGTGCTGTATATGGTTTCAAATGTGTTTGATTTTATATTTTGTATGCATTTTTGGCTAAGAATAAGCTGTAAATAAATAACCACCTGTATCGAAGTAAATACAGCAGCAAAAGTGCCTATAACATGCGCATTTTTGCTGAACCAACCGCCGAGAGCAGACGCGCAGCCAGTTGGGTAAGAGTTACTAATATTGCACTGAAACGGTGATATAGTTCCGTAGTCGATGTGACAACAGCTGATTGGTATACGATTGGACCAGTCGTGGCGACCAGACACCCCGCAGCACTCAAACTGAAATTATTTAATTATAAGACCTTTAACCAAATCCTTACCGAATAAAGTACATGTATGCCAACAAGGTCAAAAGTAAAACTTAATTCATAGATGCATAAATATTATGTAAAAAAATCTAATGACAAAGGTTTGGACACAATAGACAAAAAAGGTTACAAAATGGTGGTTTAGGTAAGAATATCGACGGACGGATCGAAATGGCGCCATTTTGTCGATGACAACCTGTTAATAATTTTGTCTCTCAAAGATTTCCAAATGTCTATATCTGGTACTTGGTTATAATAATAATAGCAATATAAAAATATTAAATAATTAAATGAGTAGTAATAAAGACCATTTTTTATGTTCAAAGATAGGCTTACGTATTATAATTAATAAGAATTTGAGCACTACGCATAATGTTCTATTGAATGACATTGACCAATAAATAATAATCGTTATTTTAACGTCTATAGTTTTAACTTTTCCCACCAATTCTGATTAATGAGTAACCTAATAATTGCTTTCTTCTACTACGTTACCCTAAGTCTTGCCATAAATTTGTAATTTATCAATACATACGCTCATTTGCAAATCGTCCCATAGCCTGGCAATATCCCTTCTCGCTTCATATAAATTCATACTTTCCACCATTGGTGTTCTTATTGCTGTCGCTGAACTATTGCGAAGGTCAAACGCTATTATTGTTATCGTCATCTCAAAAACAAATATTACTACCATGAGAGCTGCGTACTGAAAATGATAAAAATCATAAATCAAGCAAAACACATTTTGGTAAAAGACGCTGATTTTGCCTTAGTAAAAACGGATGAAGTTCGTCATATTATCAATGATTAAATTTCTTGAAAGATTATTATTATATGTATTTATAAAAAATATTGTTTAAAAATAATTACTTACACCAGCAACGACGTAAAATTTTTCGGAAAAAGCTCCATAGTAACCCAAAACGGCGATGGCTAAAATCAGAACTCCTGTTGCTATAGTAAAAGCAGGTAAATTAATAAATCTATTGGTAATTATTTGGTCGTAAACCTTATGTTTTACCAAAAACGTTACTCCAAGTATAGGCAGTATAATTCCCTTTATCTGAAAATAAATTCACAATAGATATTAAGTATTTTATTATCCAATATTGTTGAATGTTGGCCTAACGACTTCAGAAAATATAGTTTATCTGCCATAACATTATTATCATTATAACTATACGAGATATTAAAAGGATATCTTAAGTTAGTCCGATTTTTGTTTTAATATCCACATTAAAAGAAAAAAGAATCGCAAAATCCTTACCAAAAATATAGAATTAACGGCGGCCAGAGAATATCTCACTGATTTAAATAATTTTGGTGTACTACCAATATTAATGTTCATAACTCTCATCTTAAGGGTTAAACGCCACAGTTTCTCGTACTAGATACTAAAAAACTGAGAAGAAACTTTATTATCAATCATAAAAAGAACCAATATCTTTCTTATCTTGACATGTTCATCTAATCTTGGTCAATACATTTTTAAGACCAAAATAAACTCATTTCATAGCTATTATTTCAGATTCTTTTTTATATCATGTTTTTATAACTTAAAAAAAAAATATGATAAAAAACGTGAACCCATATGGGTTGCTGAACTTTCGACAAAGTATAGAAAACGGAAATCAAAAAATTTCAATATGTAACGAAGTAACAAAAATATAATAAAATTAAAAGTATGAATAAATTTAGATTACAATATATAAAAATTAGGTATAGTCCTTTTCATGAAAAACAAGCTGAAAAAAAAAAAAAAAAAAAAAAAAAAAAAAAAAAAAAAAAAAAAAAAAAAAAAAAAAAAAAAAAATAAAATATTTTTTTTTATTTTTTTATTAAAAAAAAAAAAAAAAAAATATTTTATTTTTTTAATAAAAAAAAAAAAAAAATTTTTATTTTTTTTTTTTTTTTTTTTTTTTTTTTTTTTTTTTTTCGTGGGCCCCAAAAAAAAAAAAAGGAAAAAAAAAAAAAAAAAAAAAAAAATAATATTTTTTTTTTTTTTTTTTTTTTTTTTTTTGGGTTTTTTTTTTTTTTTTTTTGTGCGCCCCCCCCCCCTTTTTTTTTTTTTTTTTTTTTTTTTTTTTTTTTTCCCCCCCCCCAAAAAAAAAAAAAAAAAAAAAAAAAAAAAAAAAAAAAAATTTTAATTTTTTTATAATTTTATATTTTTTTTTTTTTTTTTTTTTTTTTTTTTTTTTTTTTTTTTTTTTTTTTTTAAAAAAAAAAAAAAAAAAAAAAAAAAAAAAAAAAAAAAAAAAAAAAAAAAAAAAAAAAAAAAAAAAAAAAAAAAAAAATGGGGGGGGGGGGCCCCCCCCCCCCGGGGGGTGGGGGGGGGGGAAAAAAAAATTTTTTTTTTTTTTTTCCCCCCCCCCCCACCCCCCCCCAAAAAAAAATTTTCCCCCCCCAAAAATTTTTTTTTTTTTTGGGAAAAAAAAAAAAAAAAAAAAAAACGCGGGGAAAAAAAAAAAAAAAAAAAATCCCCCAAAAAAAAAAGGAAAAAAAAAAGGGGAAAAAAAATTTTTGGCCGCCTAAAAATTTTTTCCCAAAAAAACCCGGGGACTTCGTTCTTGAAAAGCACTCTACGTTTGAAACTTAGCGTTACACTTCATACTAACAAACAAACAAATTGAAACATTAAAATTTAAATGGCAACATCGGTCAAAAACCCACGGTAAATCTTGCAAACTGTAAGGGGGAATCTTTTTTCAATAGCGGGCAACTCAGTTAATCGTTGTGTTTGTTTGACGCTGGACTGTTGTTGCACTGAAAAACAATAATTCATTTGGTAAGCCATTGATATTAAAACATATTATGAATAATATGTATTTCTCGTTAACCAGAAAATAATTATTTATTTTAATACACAATTTTCAAATCTTTAAACCTGTTTATTAGAAGTTGTGAAATGTCCGCCTACCGTGAGTCAACAACGCAAATCGATGTTATTGTGGTAAAATGTGCTTTGAATGTGTAATCTGCCATCAGGTGTTATAAATACTTTTCTTTGTTCTAGATTCAGATAATATATATATAACAAGTACAAAATGGCTATCGGAGCTGGGATGTCGTGTGTAAAATACCTACTATTTTCTTTCAACCTGTTATTTGCGGTAAGTAGAACGCAATTTCTTCTTGAAGGACAATGATACTTACATAGGTTCCTGCAACTAATATAAATTAAAATTGTCATAATATGTAACAAAAGAGTAAAATTAACTTTTTGTAAACCTCTGTCTTAATACCCTCTGTAGTTTTAGGCTTAAATATTTATTGCACAACATTGTCACAGTTGCTATTTTTGAAATTAACAACCAAATATCAATGTGGAATCATATTATGGTACTTGGGTAGTGATTTTGAAAATATTATTCATTTTTTCACTAATATATAGATTATCCTTTCATTAGTGTAAGTTACTCAGTATTTTACGAGTTTTTCAAAGGTCAAGGTAAAATTTAAATTATAAACTGGTTCTTATGACAGTACTTAAAAAAAAATATGTCACTTATTTACCATTTTCATCTGTTATTAATTGTAATTCATTCTACACATTATACTGCTTAGATGCTGTATATTGAAAACATTTGATTTAATTTAGATACCAGTATGCAGTATGTTACAGAAAATGCATTTAAAATCTTGATTAAATTAATCAGATGACACACATTATAATAGTTCATAGTATGTGACCTGACCTCCTTTTATAAAGCTGTGGTGGATTGTGAACATGATATAGTAATCCTGCTTGCATGTCCATTTTATTAAGTGTTAACTATGATACTTTAGATTCCAACTAATCATGTAATGAGGAATTTACGAAGTATTTTAAAAGTACTTAATAGAAATATTTTAATAATTTAAAACTCCATGTGTCATTTATATGAAAATTATGTGTTTGTATGTATTCCTCCAATTATAGGATAAGAATATTTGACATAGGTCACATTTTCATGAGTGCTATGTTTAATTCAGACTAACTATTAAATATAACTATATATATATATATATATACATATTTTTTTTTTTTCATAATAGCTATTTCATAAAATAAATATTTTTCTGAATTTATGTATATATAATTGAACTTGTCACATGATCAAAAGTTGTTCTAAATACTATAAATAATTAACAACAAATGTTTTTGAGATAAACTATCATTCTACTGCATCTACCAATGTTGTTGTAAACAAATTATGAAAATGTAATTTATATTTCTAAAATTCACTGCAAAACAAATTCAAAGCAAGTAACATGCATCCATGATTTTTTATTAATGTCACTTCTGTGTTTAAATTCATTTATTTCTGTGTCTACCAAAATAAATATTTTAGACAACTCTTCACTAAACATTCAAAAATAATTTTGCATTACCTGAATACATGTCTTTACAGATAACTGGTATGATAATCCTAATAGTTGGTGCCAAGGCGGAGATCAACGCTTATCCATATGTCAACCTGACAGATGAGAGTTTCTATACATCAGCTCCGATTATGCTCATCATTGTTGGGCTGATTGTCTTCGTTGTTGCCTTCTTTGGTTGCTGTGGAGCTGTCAAGGAGAACCATTGTATGATTGTCACGGTAAGTTCATTTATGCATAAACATTTCATGTGAATTGCTTATGAGTTATATAGACAATGTGTTAAAGGATTTAAATACATCTTGTCTATATACATATATATGTCTTTAATATATTTTTAGTTTACTTCAAATTAAATCACAAAATTTGTCAGTAGTGTAAAATTTGTTTATTTTCCATGATATTTATTAAGGTTATGTCATAGTAACATTTAGGTTATTGACCTTAACCCTCTAATTAATTAGGATAACAGTATTATGCTAATTATGATATTTAATTATAGCAAGTTTAAGTATGTGTAAAAAATTATGAATCATTTTAATTTATCATTATGTTATCTGTTGTTATTGAACCATCAATTGACATTGGAAGATGTTTTCATAATAATAAGTCATTAATATGTCGGGCAGGTCATACAATTATTCATTTTATTCTGTGGAAAACTATTTTAGCTATAGGCTAAGACTAGACAATAATCAGCGTTTATATAAACTGATGTTTACTTTTATTGGGCGACGATTTCATAGTGTTTTTGGATTGGCTCAAAACATTTATAGATTCACAAAGGCAGACATTATTTGTTTAATAAACATCAAAAGACCGACACGTCAGCGTCTTGCACAATAATTAATTTCTCAAAACCTGAACAGTCGAGGACTAAACATTACGCTTTATAAATTTTAAGTAACTGTTTTTCCCCGTCCTTACCTCGTGATAATTGTTGCTTTAAATAAATGAACGCATTTGGTATTCAATGAAAATGCGTTGTTCGAGCAAGCTTAAAGAGGCTGCAGCTGTCAAAAGTTATTCATTTTACCGCGTATATAATAATTTTAATACATTTTATTCTCTTGTATTAATAAAATCAATACAAATAAGACATTGTTAAATTCAGAATTTAAACTGCAATCGGATTTGCAAGCACACTCTGTTGTATATAAATCATTACTGTTCGTTTTTGCGATGTATTTATTAAGTAATTATTTAACATGAAAGTCAAAGTTTCGAAAGCTTTTCAATTCAACGTAACGTTCTACGGCCTTCAGCCGCTAGGTTGTCATGCTCTTCAACATTTTACTGCATTCGTTATAACAAAGAGATAATTTACGATGAATACGAATTTTAATATGAACTTAAATATACGCATTTCATCTTAGTTTTTAAAAAATGTGTTTACGCGACTCCAATAATTTAAGAATGGCTGTGTTAAACAACATACTGACGAATTGGTAATTTGGGTTGTTGTGGAATCCCTTAATAAAAAAGACTTCTAAACTTACGTTCCCAAATTTCCTCCCTGTGAAACCCTGAGGATAAAAAAAATAAAACATGATTTAATAGCAATGCAGTTAAAAGGTTTTAGAACGCGTAAAATAAACTTTTTTCCTACTATCCAGTAAGAAATTATGATCATGGCTAAGCAATGGTCCCTAAGACGCTTAACTAAGAGACTATATTTTATAAAAAGCAATGGAGTAGACAATCCAATTAACCACCCACTGAAACCTGTCTCATTCGATAAACAATATTGACGGAAATCGTGACGCTATGGGAGATTGTGACGTCACTGTTCATTTGTGTCCCGATCCATCTTAGAATATTTTGTGATATGCGTAGGTCGACACTACGCTATTCACTTATTTAGAACGAGGATATCACAAATTCGTCACTATATTTATGAATACAGCCATTTTTAAATATTGCAGTCGCGTAATTAGATTATTTTTTTAATTTTATGAAAAAGCGCCTACTATATATATACCGGCTCGAAGGACCATATGTTCAGTCACGTATGGTTCAATTTGAACTTCTCTTTGATTTCCTTTATTTGGTCTATTCTAACATAAAAACCACGCTGTTTACACCTGGCTACGAAGGAGTGCGGCCAGGTGGGCAACGGCACCCGTGATTTTTTAAATCTTTATGTAAATTGCCGTGATGTAGATATATATTTTATTTAAATAACAAGTGAAATGCTTTCCCAAAAATCAATTCAAAATAATTTCATTAAAAATACTAGCGGCCAAATTTTGATTGGCAACTTGGTAGATATACATTCTCCTAATTATAAATATACATAAAAATTTGGTTATTAGCAAACAACCGATGAACGCACTAATCCTGCAGCCGGATCTCGTACTTATTGGACCACCTATCTAAAAACTTTTTCCTTTGGTAGTCTACACACAAACCACAGATTCTGTTCATTGTTTCATAGATTCTATATTCCCTTATAACGGTAACCAATGTCGTCCGTTTTGACTCTTACAAATCTTGTTATAATAAAGGAGTCAATTGCCTCACAAGCCACACTGAACTATGACACAGGTCTCCTTAACGAATACTTCCTCTATTAATCGTTCTTAATGGCCGACGTTTGATCCTAATTAAATTGTCCTTAAAAACTTTATTTTTCCGTTTTTCTAATGTTCATCTAGAAACCTATGAATGATGTTTCATTCAGCTTTTGTGTTGACCAAGGCTGCGTTCTTGTTATTGCTAAATCTGTTTCATTTCGCGACACATGCGTAACTGTTTTGTTATGACTCCATGAATTTGTTAGTCTGTGTTGTTTTTCAGTAAACAATTTGTTTCATCTACGACTGACTTTCTCATTATTTTCTTTTGTGTACTTGGAAAAGATCCTTTCGCGCAGTATTACGGTATTTCATTTATTTATCAAAAAGGAAACATGACACATCACAAATACAAGATACGTAAAAGTTGTTTATGAAAGTATGAGTAACACTGAGCAGTGTTGGCCTAGTGGCTTAAGTGCGACTCTTTTCCCTGAGGTCGTAGGTTCAATCCCCGTTTCTGCACCAATGGATTTTCATTCTATGTGCGCATTTAACATTCGCTCGAACGGTGAAGGAAAACGTGAGGAAACCGTCTTGCCTTAGACCCAAAAAATCGACGGTGTGTATCACACACGGGTGTATAGCACAGGACGCTGATCCTACTAGATTGGCCCTGAGTCCAGACCTAAAAAGGTTGTAGCGCCACTAACTTTTTTTAATAAGTGACACAACTAAAATAAAAAATTACAATAATAGGCACGATAATGTAAATAGCAATTTATCGTTCGTACACAAAATAATTACAACAACGATTCAAAAGGAGTTTGAAATCTGTAAATTAATTGAAAAAGTATTGCAGGAATTACTCATTCTATATGTATGGGGACGAAACCCGATGTTAGTTATGTTTAATAGTTAAATCATGCATTGCATTGCACACCAACTCATAGGTGTCCCAAAAGAGCACAAATCTGACAGATATGAGGAAGCACCACATTGCGTTGTATGTGCGAGTGAGAACATGCCGACGAATCACGCGTTGGGTGCCAGAAATTGTACGCCTGTAAACACTAAGGCGATGTCAGTGGAATGCAAGATGGTTGCTGTAGCAGCTAGTCACGGGGTCTCTTGGTAGAATGCTAATGCGACACCAAGTTTCCCCAACAGTGACGTTATTTCCTATTGGTGGGAGGGGTTTAGTGGGTATGGCTGTTATAGCCACTCCCACACTGACCGGAAATGTATTCCACTCAATAAAAGTGTCCCAATACGATTACTTGTCCTGTTGGGACACCTTAGATAGATATCCCCTTCAGATAGATGACATGACCAATGTGGTCATCTATCTGATATGTACAGCTTGCTAGTCAGTGGACTGTGAAATGTGTGTTTAAAATTTATATGTACTGAATGTCAGGAGTATCTAAATAGTATATGTAATGTATGTATGAGCAAGCTGCACTAGATGACTAAATATATGAGAGGGTGAGACGTAAGAACCTAACAAACCTACGGATCCCTAAGCCCTACAGACGTACCCTAACACATAGTGAATATATAAGTTTGGGATGTCTGTACCAAGAGACCTAAGGTAACAGACGGAGCCCTACGGGTAGGATCAAAGGTTCGAGGTGGTGAGATTATCTCAAAGCTACCGGACAGGCTCACCACGATTATTAAGGGCTTGAAGTACCTAGTCTTCGCCACTTTGAGAGGAAGCGAGAAATGAATAAGACAGAGCGATATTCAAAGACATTATCTTAAATACTAATTACACCTATTCACACATACATGATATTATTCTAGTGAGCTGTTGGTGTATCGCGCATCTTCAGCTATTAAGATTTGGAACACACGTGAGCCGTGTCAGCAGATGATCAATATTCAAATCAAATATAATTAAAATTGCTCTTCAGCTGCTAAGATTTAGAACACACGTGATCCATGTAAGCAGTTGGTTGTATCTGAACAACCAATAATTCCATTCCACGATAATGAGATATTAAAAAACCAATCAGTTGTTCGTATATGTGTAACATTCAAGATTGTCAATAACCAGGCCAGTCGTATGTTATATCAGTTACATTGGCACGAAGCCTTTTCGCTGTACTCGCGTAGCCGTCTAGTATTACTGCGCAATTAAATTTTGCTTGTAAGTTGAACATCGTGAAACAAAAATCGACGGCGTATGAAGGCTGATGACCTATTTACATACTTATAAGGAAATTTAAGGAAAAATGCTGTTAGTTTTTGTATGAATAAATTTACAGTTTTCCTTTGTCCAATGTTTTGCCCCGATCGTAGAATTGGACACTTTTTATTATATAAGCAAAGCGGCAGGAGGCTCATCTGATGTTAAGTGATACCGCTCATTAACACTCACATTGCTAGACGGCTGGCAAGTGCGTTGCTGTCCTTTTAGGAATTGGTACGCTCATGAAGGACCCTAAGTAGAATTGATTCGCTCGGCTTTATATCATCTATGTTTGTGGCTGTATAGTTAAACGCTGATAAATGAATTAGTATTTTTATATAATATATCTTATTAGCCTAGTGGCTTCAGCGTGCGACTCATCCCTGAGGCTGTGCACCAATGGACTTGCTGTCTATGTGCGCATTTAACATTCGCTCGAAGGGTGAAGGAAAACATCGTGAGGAAACCGGCTTGTCTTAGTCTAAGACCACCTAATCACCTACTTGCCTATTAGATTGACAAACGATCATGAAACATATACAAAAATCTGAGGCCCAGACCTTAAAAAGGTTGTAGCGCCACTGATTTTGTTATTTATTTTATTTATTTCCGTTATGTTTAACATTAGTACATATTTGTTGTGTAAAATTAAATAAAAAGAAACAAGGGCAGACCAATAGAGCGATGAGCTGACGAGATCGAAAGGGTAGCTGGAAAAAATTTGGTGACGACGGCAAAAATAAAATGGGTGGAATGTTAGAGGTTCTCCCAGACATGACCCGCATGTTAGAATAGTGAAATTCTATATACATATGTCTATATATTTTATTATAATGTATGTCTATAAGATGTGGATGAATAAAGGATTATTGTTATTATTGTGCACATCACTATCCGTAGATGGCGAATTGTTATCTTTCAAAGTGGTTTGAATGATTCACTTGTGACGAAGCTATGTCGATGCGTGAAAACCCGCGGTTACTTACCTCGTTACTTAATTTCCTGCTTAAATTGCGTCATATACTTGTTCTTTATTAGCGTTACGTTCTAGGTTTAGGTAATTTTCATTCAATTCTCTTCGGATCTACTATCTAGACCAGGGGTCTCCAAACTTTCCAGCCTTAGGGCCATACTGATTTCTCCAGTAAGTTCCGAGGGCCAAAACCATATGTTATTATGCTTGTTATAAGTTATGTTTTTATCACAAAAACAATAACAATAAGCCTACAACAATATTATGAGTAGTTAGCCCATGACCATATCAATGTAGATGTCATATTAATAATTATTCAACATAAAATTAGAATACTTCAGTAAACTAAATTTAATTTGCTATAAAAAATATGTTCTCTAAAGGGAGTTTTCAAGTATGCTAGGTCTCCGCGGGCCGGACGAAATCTGTCCGTGGGCCAGATGTGGCCTTCGGGCCGTAGTTTGGTGACCCCTGATCTAGACTATCGTTAGTCCAGAACAAGAAAAATGTGGATTCATAAAAATGACATTAGAGAAATAAGTCTTTAAATTACGAGTCTTTTAGATTTTAATCTTGTTTAGGCCATTAAACTTCTTCCATAGATAATTTATATGATAATGTGTTATTAAAACAAGGGTATTACATATAAAATTTTTCTTGACAATGTCAACGTACTTTTAATAATAGACATACGTAGCCCGTAGCCACCCTGGATTAGTAGTTGACGCAATGCCATGATTTAAGCGTGTTCAAACGGGTTGTTTGGATTAATATCTGCACCTGTTTCATCATCGGACGTTAAAAGCAGAATGCAAAATACAATCTGTATCACCCTGACCTCCGTCGTTCTACAATTCTGAAGGCAGCTTTTGCCGCGTACCACCACTATGTTGAACCAGCTGCTTAGAGTCCTTCAAGAAAAGAACGTACCAATTCTTTAAGACTCTTGCACTTGCAAGCTTTCTGGCAATGTGAGGGTCCATGGGCGGTAGAATCACTTGACATCAGATGAAACTCCTGCCCGTTTGCCTCCTTTAAAAAAAAAACTGATCCGATTTCTGGCGAAACAATAATTGTTTCGGGCTAAGCAGAAGGCGTCAACAGCAATAATCTGTTCAATTAACCTATTTCTATCTGAAACGTAACTGCCTCGTTCCGTTTTGGGAATTACAGGGTGCAAACACAATTACACATTGTTTAATTATTTATTTTTCAGTTCTCCATCTTCCTCTTAATGATCTTCATAGCTGAGTTGGCTGTTGGTACCGCAGCGTACCTGAAGCATCAGGACTTGGAGACGTCGATCGTGAAGTCGCTGAATGAGTCTCTGAAGCAGTACCCGACCAACCCAGATATAAAAAAGAACTTTGACATCATACAGACAGACGTGAGTATATTTAAAAATAACCTATCGTCGCTGTAGAATGATAGATAACCTCTTGGCTCTTATGTCCAGAGAACCCAACATTACAGAAAACGAAAAAAAAAGTTTCATTTCGTCAATGTTCGTAGTAATAGTAGTTTATGCAACTGTCATATATTAGAGGGTATTAAAACATGAGTGTAGTTTCAAAATAAGATTACACGAGTGTTTTAATACCTAATTATATGCAGTAATTATTTAATCTCATGGCTATAGGGTTCCAAGTCATAAAGTCTTGGTAACATTTGTCGTACGCTTTTCTTGATTTTTCTGGAAAAAGACTATTCGTCAGTTTCGTAGCTGTTTCTAGAATGTCACGTGGAGTTAAATTTTTATCGGTATCGTCGGTGTTGCTTGATATTTTTGCTACTAAACATTTATCCAACAAAATATTACTCAAATTCGTATATACGAAATAGCGCCAAAATGGAAAAAGTCTGTTATTGGTCTATTGGCTTGGAACCAGCGTGCTCACCACAGATTATGTGTACTTAAATTGAATTGAAACCTCTTTGGTCGGGACACATTGTACTTTAATATTTATATGTGCTTTTGTCCATAGTTTTGTTTATTAATAACATTAAAAAATTACTTAATGATTATACCAGTTAAATGACATAATAGTAGGGGAGCCCAAGCGGGGATTTCGGGATTTACTAAAGCGCGGCAGATTAATATACAGGGGGATACCTTGTACCCGGTTAAGTACGTCCACAAAACATGAGGCCCATATATAAGGCCGCCCATGAAGGTTACAGGATGAGATTAGTAAAAAAAAATTGACCATCAGAAATTCTCGAGCGCCGTGCAGATTAAGGGGGGGGGGGGGGGGGGGGGGGGGGGGGGGGGGGGGGGGGGGGGGGGGGCGGGCCCCCCCCCCCCCCCCCCCCCCCCCCCCCCCCCCCCCCCCCCCCCCCCCCCCCCCCCGGGGGGAAGAAAGAAAAAAAAAAAAAAAAAAAAAAAAAAAAAAAAAAAAAAAAGGGGGGGGGGGAAAAAAAAAAAAAGGGGGGAAAAGGGGGGGGGGGGGGGGGGGGGGGGGGGGGGGGGGGGGGGGGGGGGGGGGGGGGAGAAAGAAAAAAAAAAAAAAAAAAAAAAAAAAAAAAAAAAAGGGGAAAAGGGAAAAGGGAAAAAAAAAAAAAAAAATTTTTATTTTTTTTTTAAAATAAAAAGGGAAAAAGGGGAAGGGGAAAAAAAAATTTTTGGGAGGGGGGGGGGGGGGGAAAAAAAAAAAAAAAAAAAAAAAAAACTCCCCCGGGACCGCCCCCCCCCCAAAACCTCCCCCCCCCCCCCCCCCCCCCCGCCCCCCGCCCCCGGGGCCGGGCCCGGGGCCGGGCCCGCCGGGGTTTCGCCCCCCCCCCCCCCCCCCCGCCGGCCGCCGGGGCCCCCCCCGGCCCCCTGGGCCCTTCCCGCCGCCCCCGGGGGGGGGGGGGATAACTCTTTGGTGGTTTTTTTTTTTCGGGGGGCGCCCCCCGCCTCGCCCGGCGCGCGAATATTCGCATCGGCGAATGTCCCGTGGCCAGGCTGTAAGGTAGGGTGAGTTAATTACATCCTAAAAAGTGTATATTCCACTTATCTGACAATTTGAGAGTGACGTAAAAAAATGGGGAGGGCAACAAAGTTGTAAAAAAAAACGTCATCTCGACATTCTCGAGCGTAGCTAAATTTTTTTTTATTTGAAGGAAATAATTCAAGAATAATGAAAAATACGACGATTTCCGCAAGCCGAAATAACAAAAATTCGTCGATAAAGTTAAATGCGTGCAGCTGCGTGATGCCTACATTTCCTTCTCCGCGTTTCTATTCCTCTCTCACTCTTTCTCTATCTATTACTCTAGTTTCTGTTGCCATGACGCCATCACAGCTGATCATAAACACTCGTTCGTGGCATACTGTTTATAACTTTTGAACGACTAAACCGATCGGAATCTACTAAACGGCGTTCTAAATATTTCCCTCAAAATTACATTTCCTGTGAATTTGAACCGATTCGGACCGATAGATTTTGAGAAATTTTGAAAAATCTTTCGGATTTTTTTTTTAATAACTTTTAACCGGCTTTATCGATCAACTTCAAAAACTAATCCGCCTTTGAGCTTGAAAAACCACGTCAATCGCCACCAAGCTGGTCAATAGCGGTTGAATCGTTCGAGAGATATCGTGAACGAAAGAAACCCGAAAAAGTGTTTTTTCGGGATTACTCCGAAATTTGTGGTTCGATCAATTAAAACTTAAAAAATTAATGATAAAACTGCGCCGAATGCCGCCAACCCGTGAAAATTGCTTGATCCATTCAAAAGTTATTGCGGTTTGAAAATTCCAAAAATAGTGTTCTATGAAACTTCTATCAGACTTTCGAGCTGGGAGATCTCAAATGCATAGAAATATTATTTCTTTGAACTCAGCGAGCTCAAAATATCACATAAATTATATTTTGAGCTCAAAAATGTCATAAGTACAATTTTAAGCGCCCAGGAATGGAATTAGCGGGAAGTTGCAGGGATGGCCTTTAAGGTGAACCGTTTTTCAATGAGAGCTTTTTTTTGTCAGATCAGGCGAATCCTCTCTAGATAATCGTCAGATTATGAGACAGTACGTTTAGAACATAAAGATGAACTCAATATATATTTTAATCTGACGCGCTTGAGTATTTCAAAATGGCGATATTTTTTTTGAATTATGAAAATGGTCGCGGGTTGGTCATCGATGTGTTAGTGAATGAGAGCTTTTTTTTGGTGCACTTATTACCTCCTTAGAAAATCTGACGTATTTTTTTTTTTCATTTTCAACCCTTAAATACAACCACCCGCATCATGCAAACGATCAGATTAACATACGTACATTATTAAAAATACGTAGTGCATTGATGCTATCAATATCTGACGCGCTCGAGGATGTCCATGCAACAGCTTTTTTTTACATATTTAAAAATCTATAGCCGCTTCCCCCACTGATGTAAAGGTATATATCATATAACATTTTTTTCTTCTTATCATCTAAGCTTTGCATCCTTTGTTGCAAAGCTTAGATGCATTGCAGCTTTGCTAAGAAAAGGTCTCTACGACGCTCGAGTAAATCCCCATTTAGCCTCGTGGGCTCCTCCCCTACTATAAGAGTCTAGAATAAAAAATAAATGGTTTTTTGACATACGAGGTTCGTTCTACAGTGACGCTATGATATTATATGATATATGTCCAGAAATGTATGGAATCATAACTACTGAACGAATGATAGTTTCCGAGGAATATGTTGACAAACATATCTGCAGTTTAAACGTCCGAATGTATTTCCACCAAAAACTTGATGTATTTTTAAGGTAGTGTCATTTGTTCACTGATTGTTTGATAATATCGATGGTGATATCATAACAGCCTTGTCCATTTCCTCTTTCAATCAAATCAAAATATTCAGGTACAAACCTGAAAGCGTCAATATTTAAAAAATGGAAGATCGAAATTTACATATAGTTCGCAAATCAAGGAGAACTGGCAAGAATCTGTCTTTTTTCCTTAATGTAATTTTACTTAGCCTACCTTTTTAGTACATACCAGCATGGAACATTTTGCTATGCTACCGCAGAGACTGTTTCTCTAGGTTTTTCTGTGAATTTTTCTCTATATCAACCTCAGAGTTCAAGTCATAAGTTTTTAATTAACAAATAAAAAATAGGGGTTGATCGTAGAAGGGTGAAAAATAGGTGTTGTATATATTTTTGTATGCTGTATCATAAAAAAATAAAAACAAAAATAAATTCTAAAAAATCAAAATTTTGGGGTGGACACCCCAAGGGGATGAAAGAGGTACTTAGGGGTTTGAAAGATAGTATCCGATTCTCAGACTTACTGAATATGAATATAAAATTTCATAAGAATCGGTCGAGCCGTTTCGGAGGAGTATGGGATCGAACATTGTGACACGATAATTTTATATATTAGATGTAACTGTAACCACTCATCACTGAACATATTGGGCGTGTTTGGCCGAAGTAAGTACTTACTAAATTTAGTAAGTCACTTACTATGCTTACAAAATTTTCGGCCGGGACACAAAATAAGTGCTAACGCAGTAAGTATGGCTTAATATACGACGCCATTTTGCTTATTGTTGATGTAAACAAAACGGACAGGAACAGACCTGTCATTGTTCAGATATGTACGGGATATGACATAAACCGGTGTTTTGTGTTATGTTAACAAGCCAGTAAGTCTGTCCTGGCCGAAAAGCGCTACAGTCAGCTTGTAAGACTTTAATTTTTTTATGCTTACTGGCTTACTAAGTTTAGTAAGTACTTACTTCGGCCAAACACGCCCATTGAAACAAATTGTCGTAATAAAAAAAGCAACCGTTGCCTGTAATTGTTTGTTCGAAGTTCAAATAGATTATAAAGTCTGACCATTAAAATAAAAAAATCTACTAACGGAAAACTATTGAAACAACTTCTTTAAATGGCAACAATTTAATTGTCATTGTCTGTCAAAGTGTGGTGTCGATTCGAATGTGCGCGGTCTAATTCTTGCATATTGTGAGTTATAGGTGCGTTAAATTGTCGAAAATTATTAAAAGCCAGTTAAAAACAGTTATTTACAATATAACGAATGATCGGAATACGGAAAGGAAGTCTTAAAAAATTGCGTTATGACTATACTTAGTGTTGATATAATCAAAGTTATCTTAGAGCCCCCAGATTAAGTTTATTACTTTATTGGTCGGGCTTTATTTGAATCTGCGTCTGAGCAGTGTTGGCCTAGTGGCTTTGGAGTTCGGCTCATTCCTAAGGGTGTAAGGTTTCCCAGCTGTTCACCGATGGACTTTCTGTCTATGTGCGCATTGAATTCTCGCTCGGTGAAGGAAAACATCGTGAGGAAAATGCTTTAGACGGCGTGTGTCAGGCACAGAGGGCGATCACCTATTTGCCTATAAGATTGACAAATGATCATGAAACAGATGCATTCAGATAGCACCATTGTTTTTTTCTTAACTTAAGTTATGTATCCTAACATAAATTAAGTTAAATATATATATTTAAGTAAATAATTAGAAGCACAAACCAAATGTTAGCAATCGTCGCAAATAAAGCCTTAAAAAATGATCTCTTTAGTTTTCCCCCGCTCATAATTAATGTAATATAACATTCTTGTTTCCGGTAATGCCCAAAAAGGTCGACAACACTTGTATTGAAGTGTCACTTAGGTTTAAGAACCCTTAAATAAGCCAAGTTAGTCTTTAGTTAGCGTCGCAACCCCACTACCCTTAATTTACGTTAGTTATATGGTCATGTTTTATACGATTTAAGGTAGACACCCAGATTCAAACAAAGTATTTCATTTAACGTATTAGTGTTGCCCAAATGCAAGACCAAGACGAGACTTAGGCCAGTCTTGGTCCTGCGTCAATACACTAATTGGTATTGAAGTCTTGGTCTTGATCTTGCAAATACCTATTAGCCTATTATTATAAGATATTCATGTGTATGTTTAAAACATAACAAACAGTTTTTTTAATTATTTAAAAAACTGGTGTAAGTTAAAATCAGTTAAAATACTTAACAGTTGAAATTGAGCTCGTCACCTGTCATTTTCATACAAAGGTCTATCCACAGACACCGATCCGACCTCCCATGGATAGCTTGTATCGACAGATGGCTATTACAATCCGTCGATTGGTTATTGGCACACTTTTACAACATTTTATCAGATGGTGCATTATGGATTGAGATAGGTTATTGGGTTCGGGCGTTAATAACGCCCAAATCTCAGTTTGTCTTATCTGCAAGACGCAAGAGTCTTGCAGGCTTAAGTCTTGGTCTTGCTGCAATAAGACCAAGACCTTTTTTTTTCGCAAAGCTATAACGTATATTTGAACATCCCTACAACAACCGCCACCAAACTTATTCTCGCATCGATAAAAATCCTTAATACCGTGCGTACTTGTAAATCGAGTAATATGTTATTATGTTTTTTAATGTTATAATGTATGTTAATGTACTGAATAAATAAATTATTTCAGCTTCACTGCTGCGGAATCAACAGCCCTGACGATTGGACGCTTAACGGTCTGCCAATCCCGGCGACATGTTGCGCTGCGCAAGAGTTGCTCGACGACAAACCTGTCGCCTGTACCAAAGACAGTCCCAATTTCCATACCCAGGGCTGCCTCAACAACATTCTTGTGCACTTGAAGGATATCGCTATGGTACTTGGTGGTGTTGGTCTGGGTATCGCTTTCGTACAGGTAATTTTTATTACTACATTTTTTTTATTTATACCACAAAATTAGGATAAACACATTTATATCAAACTAGCGGACCCGACAGAGGTTTTCCTGCGTATTTCAAGCGATTAGGATATTAATCAAAGTATGAAAGTACCGACTGCAGCTCCATCTGCCGGGCTGAATTTTGATTCTAAACCATCCAGGGTGCCATCGAAACGTGTACAAAAAAAATCATTCAAATCGGTCCAGCCGTTTAAGAGGAGTTGGGTAACATACACGTGCCGTAGAATTAAATATATATAAAGATGGATTGTGGACAAGACAAATGAAACAATTATACAAGAAAAATTATATTGAAAAATACTGAGTTGCTTAACAATTTCATAGTAATATTATTTTATCACATTGGAACGGGTTTTCTTGTATAGAAATCATTATTTTGGTTTATATAAACACGACTCTGAAAAACACTACGCCATGACAGACAATGCAACTTGTCGATAAAACAGAGCAAGCGCCAACTAGCAGCCCAGACTGTTTTACCGACATTTGAACAGATATTCAGGGTGTCAGTTTTTTGTGACGGTGTGCGCGCGCATCGTAAAAATTTACTCTCATCATTTTCCCTAACGCGCCAAAAGAAGTATAACTTCAAAAAGTAAAATTGTGATTAATTAACGCGTTTATACTTAGCTTAAATTTGCTTTGTTTTTTTTTCAGCTTCTTGGAGTAATATTCGCGTGCAGCCTCGCTCGTTCCATCCGCAGCCAATACGAGACCGTTTAAATCCTTACAAAATATGTTCTAGATGTTGCCCATACTTGTAGCGTAAGCATAACATTTTGTGATAAGTAATTCATTCCCATAGATATTTTTATTATTTATAATTTATTTCAATTTGAAAATCTTTTTTCTGAAAAAGATCTGTAATTGTCGAATATTATTTTTATTTTTGGTGTTAAAGGCACAATGAATAAATTGTGCTCAGTCAAGACTGATTTTTCGAATAGATGATGAATGCCAAATTTTGTCTCTTGTCTATGGATTTATGCCGCTTTAAATGACTATGAACAAAAAACTGTAGATCAGTTTTCTATTATCTATGTACGTGTCTGAAATTGTCAATTATGTGATGATTTACATTGCTAATTACTTATGAACCTTATTGATTGGATATAAGATTTAATTTTTCATCAATTATTGTACAAAATGGCGGCGTTACTTTAGACGCGTACCAGAACAAGCTCTTTATACCATTGGACCTTAGTCAATCTATAAAGAATTTTAAAAAACGGCATAAATCTCGACTTTAATGTTTACAATCTCATAATATATAGAATTTTTAAAACTTTTCTAAACGTTGCTATTTTAATATGACATTATCATAACTAGACAAAATAGCAACCTTTTCTTAGATTGGTGCACTATTTTAGAGTTTTATGACGATGCAAGTGTATTTGAATGTTTAAAACCGAGATAAGCATCGCGTAAAATGTATTGGTGTTTAATATTTCCTATATTTAATAAACTTCATATTATAAAGTATGACACGGGTTTTATTACTTATCTATATTATAAACTCCTAAAAAACCGACATCTTTTACTCTGTTTTTGATTTTATTACCATTGAGGTGTCATTTATTATTTACCCTGGTATTTGAACCCAGACCCCATGAGATCATGCAGTCGAACATGCTAACTATGAGAGCAATGATGCGCAGTTTATTCGACATATTCTATTTATATATAATATTTCTTGTGGCCTGGACCGGTTTCGCGGCTGGACTTGTATTCAAAATAATTTGGAAATAAAAATAGTCTATGTATGTTACTCTTAGAGATAATTTAGCATGCTGATAAAAAAATGAATTGGAAGTTTTAATTTAATCATTACAAAACGTAACGAAAATATAAATATTTGCTCTTTATAATACTTGTTTCGATATTGCTAAACAGTGTTTCGTTGGACGCGCTAAGCTAGGTGACCATTGGTTCAAAATTCGAATTGAAAAATTATTTTAGTCGAATGTTATAATTATTATGACGAAGGCTTAGTTACATTACGCTACGAACAACCTTATGCGGAAGTAACTGCAGGACACAGTAATAAGAAAAACCATTTCCCAATTATCTGAACTAAATTGAAAATTTCCATTTCTGATCACATTACAAATGCTACGTCGGATTTCAAGTAATTTGTATTACATCGTAATATAAACTAGATTATATCTCGATATAGAAGTGATCAGATTTCATTTTTATTTATGTAAAGCAGTAACAATTTAAAAGGTTAATGACTATTTGCAATATTTTTTTAAGGTAAATTGAAATGTAAGAGAAAAACTGAGATCACCCATGTTGACAGATTTAATTATTTTAGATAGATTAATGTACCATTCATAAAAACCATTAAAATCATTAATCAGTTACGGGATATTCCTACATTCACCCAATCTGATATGTAATTAAAACTACAGGACCATAATAAAACATCACTTAAGTGTTCTAGTTACACACATTTTATTTTCCTATTTTATACCATGATATAAATTTTAACAAAAGATGATTATAAGTTTATGAACATCGAGTTTCAAGGAACATCAGTCGCGTCGATAGCTGTTTTGCAAGCAACACATTACGTCACAGTAAAAATAAAATCACATTGACAAGAGTCCAGTCAAACACGGTATAGCGCCACTCGCTCATCCGACCGGGTTGAGGACAGACGTGCTCGCGGCGTTTGTCACCTCGTATGTCGCCATTTTGATACTCACAGCACCAGTTTCTACCTTCGATGACCAAACACAGTATCACGTTCGCGACACACTAACATTAAGTTACTATTTAAACTAGGGTTAAGACATTATACATTACCTAAACAATAAAATAACTTACGTCTACAACTGTTTACATTCTAAACGGAATATTCAAAGTGATCAAGCGTGCGCGAATTTGGCACAAACAGACAATCCTGATATGTTTATTTTGACAAAAATATTTTGTTTTATACAAAAATAACGGCGAAATTCACTAACTCAAAGGTAATTACATAAATGTGACTCAAGAATTAAGTTTAATGCAAAAATAATTGCACTATATTCAGATTTGAAAAATGTTTTCTACAAAAAATCTAATGTTTATATCATTACCTAATGAGTGATCTAGGTATAGACTAGACTTTGAGCCAAATTTAAAAACACTGGACAGAATTACTCTAGGAAAGGTAAGAACAAACAAAATAGTGCTTTTAGGCTCACTTAATGAATATCTTTATATAGATACAGTAGATTTATTGTACTTTTAAGTCTACCCATAAAAGAATAAAGACATCAAATAAAGCTATTTTCAATACCGAGATACTGCATCAAAATGTAAAATTCTACTGAATTTTTAAACTGTAATTAGCTGTCTGTATAATTTTTACATTCTTTGAAAGCACTGAGAATTTTTTATTATGGCTCATCCCCATTGAAGCAAAATAAAATTGTGCATTCAAAGCATAAAAACTATATTTCGGAAGCTGAATTCTTGGACATTGACTTTTAACACTACCATTTATAATCACATACATATAATACTAATCACAAGAAATTAAACCCTAAATGTAATATAGGATAAAATACAATTAGTCACAATTATGAGCTTCAGTATGATTTTACAGTAAATGTTTTATAAGGAATTTTTTTGCTACTTATGTACCTAACTTGAATAGTATGATAGCGTAACACACTCTCAATACTTCTAGTAGAAGACGCAGAAATGTCTTTTGACCATATTAATATGAGACTAATAATTGCTGTTCCACTAACAATTGTCAAAATTTGAAACACTTAGACCATACCATCATTTGAAATTGGTTTCATGGAAATGGTTTTAAGATCAGGATTGTCAAACCAAACGGTTGAGATCATCACTATTGTAGTAAAAATTGATTTAAACACAAACAGTTAATCACTTATGTAATACAAATGGACATTTCCCAAGCATTTTTACATCAATTGCAACTAAATAAGCCAAATTATTGTCTCGACACATGTGTTCAACATAAAACATGTAAAAAAAATTGAAATTATGACACAATTGATAATTATTATGAGAACAAATTTATCGAGACACTAATGTTTGCATTGGGGATGGACTGAAAATATTGAGTATGACATTGTTCAGTTTAATTAGCTTTTTGTAGAGGGGGCAGAGGAATCATGTTGCATAACGTTTGGTCCAGAGGCGGGCAATGCGATCATGTTCCTCTCTGTTCTGCAGATACTGTGTGGCGATGCTGCCTACAAGTGGATCCGCTGAAAACGTATGTAAACCCTTAATCGTGATAGTGAAGTTATGCACATTTTCTGATGTTTTACTGGTGTGAATGTAATAAAAATATGTTTTTTTCACTTATCCAAAAAAACACTGTTTGATAAATATTAGTAAATTTAACAGATTTGACCCTTGAGAATATTATATAGAACCTAAAAATAATTAGTTAATTAATAATTGTTGGCTGATTGCTGGCACAAATCACTAGATCTTGTTTATTACATTCTTTATACAGATAGGCTTAAATCATGTAGTTTGGCAGTAAATAATAAATGGAAATAAACTAACCTGGATTACAATCAGTAAGTAATGAGCAAATTGAGAGCAGTACTTTAGATATAGTGAGGGCTGGAGACCAATTGTCCTTCAGGATATCTAGACATATGACACCCTGGCTGTTTATGTTGCAGTGGTATATCCTTGTCCGGAATGTCACCTACAACCAAATACATTTTTTTAAGGGACTGGAGCCATTGTTTGCAAGGTTACTTTGAATACAATGATAACCACCACCCATGGACACCTGCAATGCCAGGAGGCTAGCGGGTGTGTTGTGACTGTGTTTTATTGAGAAATGAAGTCAAAACATTTTATTGTAATGTAAAGAAAATATTTTTTAGAGAAAATTCACAAGAAGTAATATACTCAATACCAATCATTTAAGTCAATAAGGCTGGATACACAATACATTTGATTTTTATTTAAATTTATATAGCTTGATGTTTTATTACATAATCAGCAAAAAAAAAGTAAAAAAAAATTAAATTATAATATCATTAAAAAATGTTGTTTGGAAAATATCACATTTAAATGACACATGTTTAAATAAGGTTCAAAAAACATGTACATTGTACACAAGAAAAGTTTATTCAATAAAAATAGATGTTTCTTAAAATAAATAGATAGCAAATATTTAAAAATTACTTGCTTATTAATAGTTTTATCATACATTTAAAAACCTGGTGTAGATCACAAACAGGTTTAATGCATAGGGTGTTAAGGGACGGAATAAATCAGCTAACTTCAAATAAACAGCTGCCATAGGCCATTAACCTCTGTTCTATTGATTTTGCCATGTGACTTCAGTTCAAAGACTTCAAAATCTTTAGGAATCTATATTATATAGAATCTTTTTATTTTTTCAGTGTAACATCATGAGATGGTTACTTCTTTTACCAAAGTGATGATTAATTATTTTAAAACTTTTCAAATAGTGTAATGATGATGAAAAATTATCATTTAATTACTAATATAGGTGAAATAATAAATAACCATCACCAAGTGGCATATACATATATGCACAATGCATTTTCAATAAAGATACAGCATTGTGGCTATATTGTATGTGCTTGGTATGAACAACAACATATCTCTAATCTTGAGACATAAAAATAGTACCTTAGGTGGTTTGAAAGGATATTCCGGTGAGAAATGAATATCCAGGAAGAACACTCCACCCTCATATACTGATCCAGGTGGCCCCAGGATAGTAGATACCCATTCATATAAGTTGTCACCTTTTGGCCCCGCACTACAATTTGGCGGAGGATCTAATGTAATTTCGGCCAGTTCCTTTTGAATCCTTTTTGCTGATGTACCTAGTGCCTTAGACATCTTTGGGTTGGGTTTATTTTCCTTTGACTCTGGTTTCTCGGACACTGCACTTCCTCTGCCACGACCTGTACCACTTCCTGATGAACCAGATGCACCAGACATTATCTAAAAGCAACACTATTCTAAACCACACAGCTACATGTTAATAAGCTAAGCATATGAAAGGAAACATAAAAGATAATGATTGTTATCTAACAATTACAAATGTTAGTGATTCTGTGATATTTGTGATGATTATTTTCTGATGACAATGGTAGTCAAACTATGAACTTAAGTAAATGCAAATAACACCAGTTAAGTTTGAATGAACAAAGATTTTTTACAATTAAAAGGTTATCACGATTTATATTCAAAATTGATTAATAGGAATATCATAAACAAAATACAATTTTGTAGATCACAAAATCCAAAGAACAAAGACATGTATATTTTGCTAATTGACGCATGGAGGTCTCAAAAAATTGCAAATAATAGAAAAAAGGCTTTAAATCAAACTTTACATGGAAATCAGTACTGCAAATATATGATAACAAATACTAGTATGTAATGGAAAAAGTTGATTTAGATACCTTACGAATAACAGTCGGCCATCTTGTGGGCTGGCGTTATCCGATATTTTACTATATTTTTTTCGCACCAATGACCCAATTCAAATAAATGATTCCCGATACAGGTTAAAGAGGATTAAATCCAGAATTATAAGTTCCCTTTCAAGGTTAATGTATAAACTCCGTGTTAGTTGTTCCACACTGCAAAGCGTAAAGCAGCCTTTTACTTTCCCAGAGACTTAACAATTAGGCAACCTCGTTTGAATAAAAACGTAAAGAGTGTTATACCTGTAACTGCTTCAACGTTGCTTTAATTCCTTTTTTATGAAATATAATCGGAGCTTCACCAGTTCACACTTTTACCACATTTCGTCCATTTGTATTTTAATACACTTACAAACACTGCAACAGACATTAAATATTTTAATGAAACAAAAACAATTATGAAACAGTACATTAATTTAAATCTTTTGTATACTCACAAATAATGCTAGCGATAAAATTAAAGCAGAGATTTATGTTTAAATCAAATCTACGAAGCTAAAATGTTTTCACAAATTCACGCACAACCACTTTCCGACATGTTTATAAAAAACCGGTGGTTAAATCAATGTTACCATAATTTGTAAAATAGCTCTTTAGTCTTTGGTTATGACCATACCTTAGACCATTAAAGAAAGTAGACAAGGGCATTGCGTAAGTTTCTTCTCAATTTGTGCGCTGCACACTGCTGCTGTCGTGTTTGACATTTTGGAATGACTAATCTCTTGACGGTGAGGAGAAGGTCAGCTTTCAGTGCGTTATGAAGGTTTACTTGATTTGATCAGTTTACCTCATAGGAGAGCTCTGAGAAAGCGATAGTTTGACATTGGTTGTTGTTCTATTTAGTTAGTGTGTAATAACTATATTTGTGTTCACATGGTGAGAATTTGCTTTGGGTAAAAAGGCTATCAAAAATCTAACAGTAATTGTGACAGAGCGTTTATGACGTAAGACCAAAAAAAAAGTCCAACGATGGCAATATTAATGGTGCTTCGTTTGTACTCAAGTTATTCCTATAGTAAATTATTAGTTTTAGATCTCACAATATTTTCTCAAATAATATTTATATTACAACCATGTCTATATTGTTTTATTGGTCTACGGTCACACGTTATAGTATTAACTTATAGACTAAAGAGTATACGTTGTGGACAGCCATGTATCTAGCATTATGTCAAGTATAAAAATTTAAGTCTTCTACTCTGTTTTTACTTAGAACGCGACATTGGCGGAATTGTGATTTAAACAGAAGTCGCCATTATAAATAAAGTGAAGTGAAGTACTCTGTTTTGTTGAATTTGTTGTTAGCCTGTGCAATTCTACCGTACTGCCGCTACTGCGTATGCGTAACTAATAACTATTTAATTATTATTTACCGAAAAACCCTATTATAAAACAAGTTTATAAAAAGAAGTTATATTAGATTGAATATAATTATTTATTAATCATCAAAAATGGGTAAACGTCAGCATCAAAAGGATAAAATGTGAGAAAAACGTTCGTTTATTCATTCTTTTTTGGTGGATAACAATTGTTGTTCCCCTTTTAGGTATCTTACTTATACCGAATGGACAACACTGTACGGAGGAAAACGATCGGGCACTGCAGTTGAGGAAGATACCTCATTTAAAAGATTGCCATATGATCACTGTTGCCTATGTTTACAACCATTTGACCAGCCATACTGTGATGCAGATGGGAATATTTTTGAGCTACAAGCAATACTTGAGTTTGTCAAAAAGTTTAAAATAAATCCTGTAACTGGGAAGGTGTGTATTAAATAATTTTACTTACGTTGAAATTAGTATGCACCTATTTGTTTTTTATTTATTACAAGCATTTAAAAGAAATCAGATTAAGTCCAAGAATGTATCACATTGGGACTGTCTTAATAATCTGATATTCCAATTACACAATTATTACATTTATGCAACATTAATAATTCATGAATGTATAAAATAGTTTTTTGGTTACTTGAAATACAATAATCTTTATAAAAAAAAACACACACAGTTGCAAACTCATATATTTTTTGAGTGAGAAAATCTTTGTAAAGCATCATAAATACTATTTTCAGAAAGTAGATGTCAAAGGGTTATTAAAACTAAACTTTTTCAAAAATGCAAAGGGTGAATATCATTGCCCTGTTCTATTCAAGCCTTTTACGAAGAATTCCTACATTGTTGCAATTAGAACTAGTGGTAATGTGTATTGCTACGAGGCTGTGGAACAACTCAACATCAAAGGCAAAAACTGGAAGGACCTTATTAATGATACACCATTTGTTAGAAGTGACATTATTACTATTCAAGAACCAAATAATCTTGAGAAATTTAATATATCAAAGTTTCATCATATTAAAAATAATTTGAGAGTTGAAACTGAAGGTAAGATTAACATTTTAATTGTCAATGAGTAAAAGGTCTACTATTTGTCAGTACCCTTTTTTTTTTTTTTTGATATCCGAGGTGGAAATGCATTTGCGCATCCCCTGAACAGGGGTATGTGGGACTCGACCCACGCCAAAATCTCTGCTATTCATTCGCATTCTACCGGGACCTCAACGGCATGTTACACTCAAAAACCTCCAGTGTATATATTGCGTTTTACAATTACAGCATTAGAGCGCATTTTGCGGCATAATGCTCAACGTCGAGTGTTCCAACTACAGCAACGCTTCGCACAATTGAGCACTCTCAAAACGAATGCTCTCGCGAGCTTCTCGCAAACAATACCAACACAGTGACAGAAAATTGACCAGTATTTTTCTTTAAGTTGGCATTTATCGAAATTTTCGTTAGTAAATATTATTTATTGTTGAAAAATTTGTAAGGCTTTCGTTTCGTCGTAGATTTTGAAAATAATTGAAGTTATTTCAAACTGCTAAAAAAAAAAATATTAGTATGGATGATAAATAGTTACTTTTTTTATATTCCACATTTAAAATATGAATACAATTTTATTTTAAAATTCGGATCTGTAAACAAATTTATTTTACAGGATTATACTTTAGAAAAAATTGCAATGGTTTTGAAAACTATTTAATTTTTTTAGAAATCATTAAAAAATATTACTTAAAACGTAAATGATGTAAACTTCTTACATGAAACTAAATATTTTACTGTTAATTTAGCTTGTTAAAACCTTATATTCTTCTAAAGGTTTTCTATTATTTCAATAAAAAAAATGTTAATGAAATAATTTGATGATTAAAATAAGCGTAAAAAGTTTTCAACCAATTATTATTGTTTACCACATTATTTATACATTAATGAGGTTGCTAACTCAATTCATAACATTTTTTTTACAACACTGACTTAGCGCACTCTGCTGATGCATTTGAAAACTAATTCACGTTCCAATTAAGCTTCAGAATTATGCGGCATTGTGCGGCACTGAGCAACTCAACATCAAGCTCTAAAATTGGAAAACCTTATACACTACATTGGATAGGAGATGGGCATTATTCCTATTCAAGAACCAATTAATCTTCGTCATTTACCCTCAAGTTTCGTCCTAAAAAGTCCCCCTTGCGGTTCTGACTGAGTCACCTTCTGTAGCATGACATGCTCACAGAAGGATATTTGTCAGTACCCTAAGAATTTAAAATTTTACCTTTTATGGAATATAAATAATTTTTTATTAATATTTTAAGATTGTGGTTGTTTTGTTGATACCTATACAAGTTTACATACATCTGAATAAACATATACTTACAGAGGAAATTGCAATGAGAAAAGATCCACATGCAAGATTAAAAACTGTGTCTGCTGAAACAAAAGATATCTTACAGGAGTTGGAGAAAGAATATAAGGCTCCGGAGGTGAAAGAGGCCAAGAAAGAGGTATTGTTTTTATAATTACAAGCTTTAGCTTCATTCAAATGTTTAAATATTTTTTGGGATTCCATCCCAAAAAAAATCAAGAAATAAGTTTAATATGCATAATTTCAGACTGCAGATAAATTCAATGCTGCCCATTATTCCACTGGCATGGTGGCGGCCAGTTTTACATCCACTGCTATGGTGCCTGAAACTATACACGAAGCAGCTATTATTTGTGAGGACGAGGTTAAATATGAAAGGGTTAAAAAGAAAGGTAAGCAAGAACAGAATTCAAAATACATATTGAGTAAATTTTTTCTTAAGTAGTTTTTATTTTAATTCTTCTATATAATATGATGTATTTTACTTTAATATTAATCTGTTTGCATCATAATTTTCAGGTTATGTAAGGCTAGTGACAAATCTGGGTCAACTTAACTTAGAACTATACTGTGATGTGATTCCTAAGGCATGTGATAATTTCATAAAACACTGTCACAATGGTTACTACAATGGTACAAAATTTCATAGATCTATAAGAAATTTTATGGTAAGAGCTTATGTTAGTTTATCTTGTTATGTGCATAGAATATGTATGCAAATTCTTCAACATTCCAAGTATAATATAGAGAAATAAGTGTAAGGATACACCACTAGTGTGAGTCAAATGTATATGAGCTGTGGATTATGCACTTGTTTATCCACTTGTTTACGGTTTATGCATAAATGCTACAAGACCTTTCAACTTAATTAAATTCAAGCAATTCTATATTTACGGGAAAACTAACTAAAATAATTCAAAATATAAGCTCTATTGACTGCTGCTAATCTAATGTATTCTCATCTGTTATAAGATTCAAGGTGGAGATCCAACTGGCACAGGATTAGGTGGTGAGTCAATATGGAAAAAACCATTTGAAGATGAAATAAAACCAAATCTACACCATTCAGGCCGAGGCGTTTTATCTATGGCAAACTCTGGGCCTAATACAAATGGATCTCAGTTGTAAGTGTTAAATATTATTTATTCTATTATTAGAGTCTGGCTAATGAAAGAAGATAAAGAAAAAACGCGGCAAATTCAAAAAAAATTAGTATGGTATCCCTAAAAGTTTGATATATTTATATTATATTAAACTTACTTGATACTTGATTTTATTTTATTATTTTTTACACTGATAGTAACTGTATTTCTATGAAATTAAACACTATAGGTATTTAGTCTTTTACTATTGATACCTAAAATGACTAGCATTGCATGGAAAACTAAAACTATATTTATTATAAAACACAACTTTATTTGGAATAATCAAAATCGGAATCCAAAAAATTTGCGATTTCTTTGAAGTACTGGTTCTGGAATTTTATTCTATCTTTCTGCTCTAAATCAGTGAGCTTAACAATAGTTCTCACTATTGCATCAACTCCTTCTACATCCTCCAGATTTCCTGCAAAAGAAACGATATATTCTATCAAATAAAACAAAGTTTAGGCTATTTTTATACCTATTCGGAAAAAATATATAATAGAAATAAAAATGAGTAATTGCATGAAGTATCAAGACAATAAATCATACTAACCTAAGAAGTTCAATGACATTCTGTGTTGCCATCCGAAAGTTTTCAAATAATTCAATTATCTTCTTTCATTAGCCAGACTATACTCTCTTTTCAGATTTAGTTAAAATGTCAGTGCACCAAATGGGTTTGCTTCCTGATAAATAATTCCTAAACATGCATACCAATGTAGTAAAACCATCAATTGAAAATTTAAGTGTGCTGGGGGTCAGGACACATACTTTTTTAATAACTGGACATCCAAGAGTGATTAAATACTTAAAGACCATTAATTTGATATATTAAAAGCTATAGACTGTAGATCATAGGAATAATTTTGTATTACCAATACCTTTATCAGCCAAGATTCTTAAGAGAAATATTTGTGAAATGCTCTACTGGGCTGAACTGACAGAGATTATTTTTCAGCTTCATTACATTTCGTTCATGCAAACAATTAGATGGGAAGCACACAATATTTGGCAAATTAGTTGGTGGTATTGACACATTGAGTGCCATGGAACAAATAGAAGTTGACAATAAAGACAGACCCATACAAGATATTGTTATAGAGGTGGCCCAGGTGTTTGTTGATCCATTTACAGAAGCTGAAGAGCAGGTATACTTATTTATTTATTAACACATTGTTGCATTACAATATAAAAATTTAACATAATTAAATGAAAAGGAGGGCAACTGGCAGCCTTATCACTTTTGAGCGATCTCTTCCAGGCAACCGCTGTGAGAAAAGAAAAAAAAATGTATTAAATTAGATAAGGTAGGCAAGAAGTGCAAAAATACATATTACATATAGTTATTAAAAAAAAACTAAACAGGAACAAAAAACAAACTAAACTTATAAAGGATACATGAAAAATAAAAAGTAAAGTACTTAATAAAAATTTATCCAATAACTATACTCAAATTTCATTTATCCACCCATTTTTAACCACTAGTGTGCTCAGATATTTTTAATTGTGGGATAATGAAATATAATATAATAGATAAAAGAAAACTAGGTAAATACTAAAGTGATGTTATCTATGTAACATAAACAATTGATGTGAAATTATTATTTCAAATATATACATGGTAAAATACACTTTTCTTACTTTCACAATGTTTTTTATAGCTTGTTGTTGAAAGAGAGGAGGAACTAAAGAGACAAGCTGAAGCAGAAAGCCAGGGAGTCAAACCAAAAAAAGCTACCAAACAACCCTTAAAAGTTTTCCGTGAGGGTGTAGGCAAATACCTAAATTTACAAGAAGTGTCTCAAAGTAATAAAAACCCCAAAACACAAGAAGTGCAAGCAAAGAAGAGCAAGAAAGAGACTAAAGGTGGTTTTGGTAGCTTTGATTCGTGGTAGAAAATATTGTAGTATCAACAATAAAAATTTTATATTATTTGTCTTTTTTTATTAACTGATATTGCATAATTTAATAAATAATCATATTATTTCTAATAATTTCTGTCCTTTAACCTAACCAGAATATTTAATGAAATTTTGACAGTTTATAGATAAAAATTCCAGGTAGGTACTTGAAATCTGTTCCTTTCATAGGTTGAAATGTGAACACACAAGCAAATCTGCAGTCTACTATGAGTTAATTTTAAACAAAGTCAATTTTTTTGATGTTGATGGAAATGTTGATAGTCATAGCACAGACCAAGTCTGTGCAGAAAGGGAACCATTGTGAGATTTGAGGTTGTAGTAGTTCTTAATTAAATTTAGTGTTACATTAACAACACAAATGTCTTTCTGCACTCTATAAATAAGAGACAATATGTTCCATTATAGAAATACATAATATATTTTTTATAGTTTATTTATCTATAATATGATAGATTTATTATATAAATAGAACATGTCATAATTATCCAATGTATAACTGCAGGTCACATAAACCAAGATATTAGACTATAACGTGAATTGGTTTGGTGCAAACTACATCCTAATTTAAACTAATTCTGTTATCACTACTTTTAATAATACAGTCAAAACCGTTTACGACGACATCATTTAGAACAACAGTTATATTGACCAAAATCAAAGGTCCTGGCTGAATTCTATGTATAACATCAACAATAATAATAACAACATCATCAGCTATAGGTTTTTACAACCAAATATAAATAGTCCCTTCGATGTTGTTATAACAGATTTTTAATGTATATATATATAAGACATAAGATTCATTCCATCATATCATATACCTTTTTCACCTGACATAAACAATTAAACATCTGTGTCACTTAACAACCTACACAATAATTTTAAACTTATAATACTCAATATTAGTGTTAACACATAAACAATAATATGTAAACTTATTGAATGCAACTTTAATAGTCACAACCTCTAGTTAAAATTTGTGCGCCGTCTAGCTGTTCTCTGTTTATCAAATCTCATCTCCATTTCTTCCAATACTTTTGGTGTATAGCGCACAACTAGTTTTACAGACCCCACAGCTTGTTTCAGCAATTCCACAGCTTTTTCATGGTTTTCACCTTCTACTGATACCCCATTGACAGATAGCAATTGATCCCCTCTCTTAAGTCCGCCATGGCGATCGGCAACACCGCCTGGGATTATTCTAGAAATATAAATGGGTGAATTTTGCTCTTTCCCACCCATAACGTTGAACCCCAGACCTTCTTCGGTTTTTGGAAGTTCTACAACTCTTGGATGGGCATGGCCTTCAGCTGCGGCAAACGCAGCCACTGTTGCCTTTGCTGTTGCTGAAGCACGGATATCAGCTGAACCTTGAATATCCACTGTTTCATAAACATGTTCATACACTTCCCTCACAGCATTCAGAAAATCACTTTGAAGCACTTTTTGTAAAGCAGCTAGTTTAGTTGCAGGCACCTCTCCACTTTGTTGTAGCTTTTCTAGCAATTCTATAGCTCTTTTAATATCCCGAGCTAGGGTTAACTGTTCCCCTGTAGTCGACATTTTATTTGTAGCGATTAAGTTATTGAAAATTAATGTATGAAATCCACCCAAGAAATATTGAATTTTTATAAAAGTCGAGGTGAGTCGAAAATATTAGATCAGATAAAAGTACTAGGTATTTTTCGAGATTAGGCCGCACCTAATCCAATGGACGCAGTACCTAATCCACCTAATCCAAGAGGTAGCGTAGCGACTAGCGAGTAGTGTAGTCCCGGGCCGCGCCCGCGCGTCAGCGGTCGGGCGGGGTGCGGGGCGCGGGACGTGAGACTGGTAAAATCCGGTTTGTTTCGCTGGCTGTTCGGGCCTCGCGGGCCGGCGGCGAGCGCACAAAACAATAGCTTTCCTTTTCTAACACATAGAAACGTTACCTGTTTTTGTCTTTGTTTGTTGTTCGGTTAAGAAAAACAATAAATTTGCATGTAATGTAAACAAACACTTAGTTAGTGTCGTTCGTCATTTGGGCGATGCAAGCTGTGACTTGTTATGATTGAGTTTGTTTAGTGAACTTTAGTGCAGAAAAACTTTCGTATTTTGTAAAAAAAAAAAAATGGCTCCAAAGGGGAGTAGTGTCGCGTGGGACCATTTTGTGGTCAAGGACAAGGATCAGTACATGGCCGAGTGCAAAATGTGTAAGACTCAGTTAAGTTTTAAAGGTTCTGTGTCTAACTTGACAAAACATTTGAAAAGGAAGCATCCTTTGGTCAATTTAGTGCCACGAAATTCTTCGACGTCAGCTTCCATATCGCTTAACTCGGAATCACCATCATCACAGGTGGCAACGGCAACGACTTCATCAAGTGATACGACCGCAAACGATCGATTATCACCAGCAGCTAGTACCAGTAATACTGGTACAGTGCGTGTAGTACAGTCAGGCACAAAAACTATAGCTGCATATATTTACAAGAAGAACGCCGATAAATGTAAATCCGATATCGATCAATTGATCATGGATCTATTTATTCTGGACTTTCAACCATTCCGCATTGTAGAAGACAGGGGTTTTAGAAAACTGATTCAGTCTGCATTTCCATTTTATATAATTCCCACACGCAAGTACTTTGCAAACAACTTACTACCGAGCCGTTATGAAAGTTTGCGGGAAATAAAAATGGTCGAACTTCGAAATGTTGAGTCAATATGCATCACAGCTGATATTTGGACTTCAAGTACCTATGATTCATTTTTAGGTGTTACTGGCCATTATATTGACAAAGATGAGTATGTGCTTAAGTCCATATTACTTGAATGCGTGCTTCTGGATGGTTCCCACACAAGTATTAATTTAGCAACGGAGCTGTTGCGAGTAGCAGAGGAGTGGCAAGTGGCGAACAAAATTCCGCTGGCAGTTTCGGATAATGGATCCAATATTAAAAAAGCCATAGAAAAGGATTTAGGCTGGAAGCATTTTGGCTGTTACGCCCATTCTCTCAATCTGGCCGTACAAGAAGCGATGTCGAAGTCAGAGGAAGTGACTGCATTGGAGGGCAAAATAAAAACGATTGTCAGTTATTTCAAAAGATCCGCCAAAGCGTGGGAAAAATTGAAGAAGTATCAGGAGCAGGCCGGAAAGACTGTTAAAAGACCACTGCAGAGTGTGAGTACAAGGTGGAACTCCATCTTTTACATGATGCAAAGGATTCTCGAAATCAAAGAAGAGATTAATAGTTCTTTATGTAATTTAAATGCCAGTGCTATGTCACTATCCCAATTTGATTGGGAGCTTTGTGAAAATGTGACCAAAATTTTAAAACCTTTTGAAGAAGTGACCAAAGAAGTGAGCGCCCAAAAATATGTTTCGGGAAGTATTGTTATACCTATCACAACGGGACTTATAGCCTCTTTGGAAAATATGGATACAAGTTCCTATCTTGAAACTGCCCAAATGTTTAAACAAAACTTATTAGGCGCTATAAAAACTAGGTTTGCTAACTTGGACAAAAGCCGCACTTTCACAGTTTGCATGTTCCTGGATCCTAGATTCAAGTTGTACTTCGATGATCCAAGTGTAGCGGAAAATACGAAACAAAATGTTATACAGCTCGTGACTGCTCAAATTCACAAAGAAGACCGCGTTTCACAGTCATCCCAAAACGAAAATGGTTTAATGGAGCTTCAGGAGTCCACTTCAACACAACCAAGTACCTCTACTTCAGGGGAGGTGCAGATCTCTTCAGTATGGCAACATTACACACAGAGAATGAAAAATATCCAACCGAAAGGAACTGCGTCATCGAGGGCAATCATAGAGGTGCAAAGATATTTAGAAGACAAAGTTGTGTTGCCTACTGAAAAAATCTCACCATTACAGTGGTGGAAACAAAGGAAAGATGTGTATCCGCATTTACACGCTCTGGCTATTACAAAACTAAATGCAATGGCTACGAGTGTTCCATGCGAAAGATTATTTTCAGCTTGCGGCCTGCTCCTAAATGACAGACGAACTAGACTAGGCACTCGAAAAGTGCAACAGCTGATGTTTCATCAAAATACATAGCGCAGCCTGTTGTCGAGTGTATAACTGTATGTAATATGTAGCACATTGTACATACATATATTAAGTTGTTCCAAGAGCAAAACTATGTAAATATTTGTAAATTAATAGTGTACATACAAAACTAAAAAAAGAAAAAAAAATACTTGTAAATAAGTAGTGTAAATACTTACAAAATTAAAAAAAGACAAAAAAGTAAAAAAAAAAATATAAAACAAAAAAAAATACTTGTAAATAAATAATGTAAAAAAATGTGACCTTATGTACATAAAATGAATTGAAATCTTTAAAATACGCCTGCTTAAAACTAAATTTTAAGCTGACAGTCCTAAGCCTGTAGAAGTATGAAGGGAAGATTACAATTCATTAACTAAGAAAACTTATAAAACTAGCATAGTAAAGTAAATAGTACGTAGTAAATAAAGTACTGCGTCATATCATATTCACTCAATACAATACGCAGTACTATGTGGATTAGGTGGAATAGGTATTTGGATTAGGTACTTATGTGGATTAGGAACAGGTGTATCTGATATCAAATTTACCTAGTACAACCCATCTCTATATAAAAGTCGAAACTGCAGCAGCAGCTGACAGTAAATAGTTTATAGTAATCGATAAAATACTACAATCTTTATGACTTTGACAACTGCCAAGTTCACAAAGGAACTAAATATTTATCTTAAATGCCAGTGTCAATAATTTGTATTGTAGGTTGTTACTGTCACTGACGAATGTTTACTAATTTGTGGCGACTTGTCAAGTATTTTAAATAAAAAATAGTTTAAAAATTTTAGAGCACAAAATTTAATTTTGGTGTTTCCAAAATAAATTGTGATGGAAAGTGATATGGACTAGATTACGTGTAAACGTGGTTGTGAAGTGCGTCAAAAAAGTTATATTGTGATAACAGCAGTAGTCATGGATGACCTAGGTATGTAAATGTTTGTTATCACCATAACCTGCTGCAGAAATTCCTATGTTGTAAAGTACCTTACATTGCGTAAAAACTGTTTTCGCAATATTACTAAGCCAGGCTTATATGTTTAGGTACTAAAATTAATAATCTTAAGAATGAAGAATAAAATATGTCTCTAGTACTGACATTGGAACATTTTCCTTAATCTATTTAACCTTTTACCTTTTTCTTTATAGTCCAATATCACAGTCTAAAAAAACTTGTACCCAACATTTAAGTTGGGTACAAGTCAGTTCAGTGTTTTTTTAATGAAGGTATATATGTATATATTGTTAATTGTTGTTATTGTTATTTTGGCCTGTGCAACCTCAAAGAACTCTATACTGAATTGATGACGGCACTTACCTAATGTTGTGTAGCAAAAAGAGGTCTTGACAGGTATTATAAAGATTAATGTGCCACCTTGCCACACCTAATAACTGTTATAATAGGATATTAAAGTTTGTGCAAAAATTGTGAATTGAGAGGGCAATATTTTAAAAGGTACTGTCTGCTGTCGCTCTTTGGCATAGCTGTAATTTTAAAATATTTTGTTAGTAAATCCAGCCTATATTACTCAGGGATAGTGTCCATTCCAATAGAAAAATTGGTCTGGTACTTTGAGTTTATTTGTAACAAAAATACAAATCTTTCCACTTGAAAATCTTTGTATAAATATTTTTTTCATATTTTGGAATAACAGATCTTATGGCCTTTATATTTTTATTTATATTTTTATAAATTTTATACTATGTAACAGGTATAGTTAAAATTGAAGTACTTTTTTATACTTAACAATGTTGTTATTGATTTATACGCAGTATATTCAACCATCAACAATACATATGTATAAATGTACACATACAATATAAATGTATATGTTGTATACTGATTATCTTTATCACCACCAAGAGCCATACATATATCCAAAAAGTTCTATATTTATCTTTGGCATTGTGATTTAATTAATTTTCATTTTCTTTGAAATTACTACTGCTAACATATTATCATTTAATTATTTAAAATTTGGCCACACAGTACATACTGAATAAACATAATTATCTTTAAACCCTTATTATAAAGTTTGTATACAATTTAAATTGTGTCACCATATGGCCAGTGAATAGCTGCATTCCTCTTTCATTCCACTCCTTAATTAACTTAATTATCAATTGCTGAGCTGCATTGAACATATGGAACACACCTTTACATTGGATCATCACCAATCTAAATTATATTTGTTAAAAATTATAAATTATTCTACAAAAAATCCAATATTTCTGTGTTTTTTATAGATATATTTGATCAAAGAACAGTAATTTTTTCATATAATGAGATATTTATTAGTTATAAAACTTTTGAAACTCGGTTCAACTGGCCATGATGGCTGAAAAGCACTTTACTTGTTATATCTAGTTATAGAATTATTTTAATAAATTCGGGTTTATATTTAATGAGTTTGAGTAAACGACAATTTAAATGACAGGTCACATAATCAAATTATACAAAACCATAATACAAGGAGACATTGTTAGAGACATTCTGTTT